GGATTTAATTAGAGATCCAAACCAATGACGAATGCGATCCCACTATTGGTCAATCATTATTTAACAACGGAAGTAAGTGTCCGTCGCTAATCCATCATCAAATGGGTGGCGTTTTAAGTACAAAAAGCCATCCATTTTTTTGAACCGAGTGATAGACGAATTTTCCTCGTTGATTCATTGCTATTTAGAGATGAAAATTTAATGTCCATTGTTGTTCCATCATTAAATGGGCAGTTTTTTATTCTAAAAAGCCATCTTTTTTTTCAATTTAGCAAAGGATTTCATGCTTTAGCAACCGAATATTGGTTGCTAAAGCAAAACATTAAAAAGTAACGATGAAATAATATTTCTCACTAATTTTCATAGTCATTCCATCACTAACCTTTAGCTAAAACACCCAAAAAAGCTTTTGGTGTCTCAAACGACGTGGAATTCCATCGCTAATCCTTTGCTAAAACACAAAAAGATGATGGCATCCTAAACCATCTATATATCATCTCTAAATCTAACGTACGCTACTCGATTGTTATTTACTCACTATTTGGAGACGAATTTGTGTTCGTCGCTATCTTTTAATTTTCTTGTAGTGTCAATTCTCAAGTCTTCAAATACTTTTGTGAAACAAAGTGTTTGGTTGATTAATACTACAACTTTTATTATTATTATTATTATTATTATAGTCTTAATTTCTTAATGTTAAAAGTTCCAAGGTGATGAAAAATTTTTCTTATAAATTTAAAGTTTAAGGGTATATTTATCTTTTTTATTTAAAATATTTTTATCATACCAAATATTTCAAAAATTCATTTTTATGTATCTTTTGCTCGACTCATGTATCGGTTAATTACTTAATAATTTTTACAAAGATCATTTATCGAGTTATATATATATTAAGTTCAATTTCAATTATTCATAGTTAGCAAATTAATATTCACCATTGAAGGTCCTTGAAAAAGCTTGAGAAAAAGAAAACCCAAAACATCATTGAAATTAAATCCTTAAGAAATCTCTATATCTCGGAGATCGATAAGTATGCTCTAGCTAGCATTGTGGAAGCAATATATTCTCTCACAACTAGTATTAGTATTGTAATAATTATAATTCTTTTTTCTAAATAAGTTCTTATTAAACTAATATCTATTTATGCGGGATACACGAAAATGGTGCAACGATGTGAATACAAAGTTAAATTCAAGTCTTACTAATTTTTAGCTAGCGTGATAGTATTAGTAATTCAATATGTACTTATATCATAAGTTCTTGTCTAAAGAATTAAGTCCACACACACACACATGGTGTAAATAGAAAAGGACATTATATATTATTGATGGAGTTTTAACTAGTCAACTTGATTAATTTCATACTTGTTTTGAAAAAAAAATTATTGATATGCTTAATCTAAACATTTTTAAAGTTTTAATAGTCAAAATAAAGTGTGACATACAATATAAATTATTGGTAATTTAGCAGACTCCATTTTTACATTATTTAGGGTTTTATTATAACCAATAAATAAATATGGAATGAAAATTAGCTTTAAAATAATTTTTTAATTAAAAATATATTTTTCCAAATAATCAAATGTATGTGTGGGTTTGTGTGTGATTAACATAGTATTTCCTTGTTGTATAGTTACAACTAATGAGGAATGAAATTTTAAGTTTTTCACAAAATCTCACTATAAGTTAGCCCTTCTCACAACTCTCCCTTAAGGCTTTATAGTCATCCGGTCCACTACACTAAAATTATATCTTATATCCTATATTTTTACTATATACAAGAGCTTTCTTTTTCATAAAAAAAAAAAGTAAAATAATTTTAATACACATATTTTTTAAGAGCCTACTCTCTCTCTCTCTCTCACTCAATAGTTATACCACATGTTGAAAATATTAATTTAACCATCGGATTAGTTTTCCCAAACACCCTTCGACACCACTAACTTTGATATTTACTCTCCATGCTTGCAAGACATAACCATTGTTTTTCCATCCTCCTTTAAAAAGCTAAATATCAAATACAATAAATCTAGATGCTAAAATCCCATGCATAATTAGTAGTGCCATTTGTGAAAAACTAACTCTCCATACAATCTCCAAGCTTTTCTATTGCTTTCTGGACCTCTAAATTCAACAATAATGATGTCTTCTTCCTTTATCTAGTCAAACTCTTAGATCCCTACATAAAACATCAGATTTAATTGTACAACACATGTTTCACCCGAGTATCTATCATTCAAATGAGGTAATACCTTTCTTAATTTAAGAAGCACATCATTATAAAACTAGCATACATACCTACCATGATTATCACCTCTTAGTGGAGAGAATGAGTAATTCATTTGTTTACGTTTCATTTTATATTTTTCATTATAATATGTTTTTAACATAGTATTAAGTTGTATTGCTCATCTAAACACATTTTCGAAAAAGGTATCAATTATTAGTTTCATTAATATTTTATTGTTGTGATGGAAAATGTGTCAAAAAATGGATAAAAAAGGTAAGGCTATCAAGTGGCCATACCTCTAATTAGCAACACATTCATGACGTTAACACTCATTTATCGTATATTTTATTATTTTTTACAAATATCAACTAACTATACAAATCATATGGGATGCTTGGTGCCATTCATAGTTCATTGCTCAAGATAAAATTTTCATAGTCCATTTTTAAGTCCGAGATCCTCCTTCCCTTAGGAGATCCATCCTAAAAGGATCATGCATCCAATGTCGGTACATAATAAATAAAAAAAATTTCTCCATATAAGGTTCTCAAGATCATATTGTTAAATCAACTAATCATACATTAACATGAATATAAATATGGGTAAAGATTAGCTCTTGTAGCGCAAAAGACAAGCAAATGGAAAAGGAACTATACAAGTATTCGGCCTTTATTAATAATTCATGAAGCTTAAACACCTATAAAGAAAGCCACGAAATCACAAAGTGCTAGATTCAATCTTTCCGTATAGCTAATTTGCTTTCTAAAAAATTCAGTTATAGCAACTCGAGCTTCTAAGGAGGGATACGGCAATTCGAAGCTTTTAAGGAGAGAAATGCTTTCTCTCTCTCTCTTTCCATGTCTTTGTGTTTTTCTTCCCTCTCTCCCTTTTATTTATATAGGGGACGAGCATCCTTATCCTCCAAGGACAAACAATTGTAGCATGTATGGGCTTATTTGATTTTATCCTTGTGAACCTTGAGTCTTATCTAATAAGGCTCAAGTCTTGCAAGTTTTTAAATTAAACTTATTGACCAAATTAATGATCCATTAATTTGGACTATCCAAATAAATTAAATAAGATATTTTTAAGAAGCTCACATTAGGAAACAATTTTCAAATTACCTTTAAACTTAAATTAAGAAACTAATTTTCTTTTTAGGTGACTAACTTACAAATTTAGAACTGACTTTTAAATTAAGAAACTAATTTTTAAAATAGAAAGTTTTTTTAAAAAATAGGAAACTTTTCAAAACAGGAAACCTTTTCCAAAATAAGAAGCTTTTCATTTTTAGAAACCTTTCCCAAAATAAGAAACTTTCAAACTGGAAACCTTTTCCAAAATGTTTGCTTCTCTTTTATTATATAAATGCTTAAACCTATGCATGTGACTTAATAAGCTTCTAGATATATTGGTAATGTGTCAAGAATAAAAGACATCACTTTTATCTCTTGATACATAATCAAAATTGGTCTCTAGCAAGACATCATGACTACTCACTTCTCTAGGAGGATTAATTAATTTATAATTACCTTTTATGAGCATAGTTACCATATAATTCAATCCTCATATCAATTTATCATAGTGTGATCTCGAATTTCATTTATAGTCCGTTCGATTATGATCACACAAGTTTTTTTTTTAATTCTCAAATGTCTTAACTCTAGAGTAAATCAACTATGCTATATTGGTATACTTCTATCGTGGTCATAGATTTCTTGAGCGAGACACTCATCGAAATATAATGTGATAACTCCTTTAGCATATAAGGAATGACATGTCATATCTTAGTCATCCATCTATTTTCATTAAATTCCTAGTGCACCCAATGAATCATCCACACGTAACTCTTGATTGAGCCCATCAACATGAGTGTTAAAGTACATAGATCTTCTAATGAGATAACCGTGATGACTTTAAGTCAAAGGACCAGCTATACCTATCTCGTATGACGTTCCCATAAACTAAACCAAATGGGTTCTCATGGCGAGTCACGTCTAGTGATATATTCTCTAATATTAATTACCTAAGTAATTGTTTTGACATTATCATACCAATTGACGTGATATCTCCTATTGCTATTTTATAGCATGATCATAGCAATCACAAGCCTTATTGTACATAGTCAATGTCCATTCTTGACAATACTACTACGTGAGACATTTAATCATATTATTTAAGTGCATTAATGTTTGTCTCGCATTTTTCGATCATTCATTAATACAATGCATATCATATTAACTTTTATCTAATTCTATCAAAATATAAATGACAAGAATTAATAAAAAGACTCATTTTATTAATTAAATAAAAAATATAATATTACCATAAGTCAAACCATCTAAATAAGGTTAAATCTTAGGTACCTACACTAACACATCCGTCCTTAGGGACTCCACTTTATGTTTAGAATTTTTTTCCCTTTAAATAGTCTATCCTTCCTTAAGAACTCAATTCCAACATCTAAGATCCTTCTCCTTTAAAGATTCTATCTCTTTAAGGATTCTTCCCTTGTGTCCGATCGAGATCCTCCTCTTTCAAAGAAGTCCGTCCCTACTTAAGAATTCTATCCCTACATTCAAAATCCTCTTCCTCTCGGAGGATTTATCTCTCCTTAAGGACTCCATCTCCTCGTCCGGGATACTTTTTTCCCTAAGGAGTCCATCCCTCATCGAGGATTCCATCTCTATGTTCGGGATCCTCTTCCTCTTGGGGAGTCCATCCGTCCTAGGGATTCCTCCCCTTAGGAAGTCCATTCCACCTTAGGGATCTCACTTCTCTCCAAGGGATCCTCTTTCCTCTAAGGAATACTCCTTCTTTAAGTATTCCTCTTTCATGTTTGGAATCCTCCATCCCTCTCCAAAGATTCCTACTCCATGTCCGGGATCTTTTTTCTCCCTAATAAGTCCATCCCTTCTTAAAGATCCCGCATCTAAACATTTAGTCTAAGAGTTGTAAAAGAAAAAAAGTGTAAATAATAAATTTGAATCCAATTTGAGAGTTCTAGAAGAACAAAGATGCGGACAATGGATTCGAATCCAATCGAGAGTTTCAAAGAAATAAAAGTGTAGACAACATATTTGAATCCAATATGAGAGTTCCTAAAGAATAAAAATACGGACAACGAGATCTAAATCTAGTTTGAGAGTTTTAAAAGAACAAAAGTACAAACACAAATACAAAACCAAAGTCTAAGGGTTTCACTAAATGACGGACATAAGTATATTTCTTAGAGGACATACAACTATATTCTTCCAAAGAACTTATGTCAAAATTCCTTCAAGAATCTCCATTAGTTTGGGAATGCGTTTCTTCAAGAATTGATAACCATGATTTCTCTAAAAAATTTAGTTCATCCGGACAACCCATCAAACAAGATGGCCGGATAGTTCAAATTTGGCGAATTGCACCTCCCAAATCTCGATCTGTCTAAATTATATTATACAAAAACATCATCGTGTTTCAAAATGAGTGAGCCTCGGTTTTAAGATAGGAAAACAACGGACGAAGTATAAAATTTGAGCTCTTCATAAAGCCCTTTCACTATCATGGGCTCTCTTCATTGAGACTTGGTAGCCATTTCTATTAACACATTAAAAGTATGTCTTATATCCTACATTTTCTACTATATACAAGGGCTCTCTCCTTCATAAAACGTAAGCAAAATAAATTCGATACACATATATTTTTTAGAATGCTCTCTCTCTCTCTCTCTCTCTAAATACCTATATTGTATGGCCATAATACTAACTTAACTATCGGAATGGTTTTGCCGGACACCTAGCTCTCGGTACTACTAACTCCGGTATTTGCACTTCATATTTGCTAGATTTAAGAGGACACTACCACCAATTTTTCTAACCCCTAAAAAAACTAAATGTCAAATACAATAAACTTAAATGTGAAAATCTTAAGCATTCCATCATTAATAGCTTTTGATTTAAGATTAAAGATAATGGTTGCCTTTTTACCCTAATAATTTATAATTGAAGACACCGCGGGACATTATCATGACGCAGTGAGACATAACTAAAAAGGCATTTGAAGTTTAAGAAACATTAGTTATATTTTTCAACCATTTAGATCTTGTTGAAAAAAGAGGTGAAAAGATTCTAATAATCATCCCGTTTTATTACCTGATACCACGACACTCCTCTGTTGCTCCTTTGAATTTGCTTAAGAATTAGGGACATGATGAGGCATGCATGACTGTATTTTTTAAAAAAAATTTGTAATATTCTCTTAAGCTTTTTGCCACTAACATATTTGATTGTTTATATTAAAATAATGAGATTTATGAAAATTTTACTCATCACAGCGTAATTTAAAACTTAAACTCAATTGATGAAAGAGACGATAACAAAAGGTATTACTAAGGTAACATACAACGATTTTATATGTGTTACGCAACAGAATAGTTTAGCAATAATTAGCAAAAGGACTTGAGAGGATTTGCTACATGATATTGTCTGCAAATTAAAAGCTTTAAAGTTTAGCCAATTAGCAAAACGAATAGTGAGTTCAGCAACTATACAATCAAATCAATATGGTCTTGATTCGATATCACTTGTTATCTGCTTATTATGCCTTCTTTTTTCTTCTTTCTTTTTTCCTTTTTCCGTGAGCGTATTTTGAAGAATGTTGTCTGACTTGCTTTTTCGATGGTCATGCCTCATCTTAAAATGAGGGTGGAGCATGACTAAAGAAGGTTTTTGGTTGTTGAGTTGCTAAATACATTCATGAATAGGGTCCTCTTTCAACTAGTAAATGGGAAACTAAGGTTAAAAAATGTGGAAATAGATCGTCTTCCTTTTCATTCTTTTGGCAGTACAGATAAGTCTCGATGGTATTTCTCATCTTTTCTTACTATATATATATATAAACTCATTAAAAACTTACTGTACACACACCATAAGCCCTGAGCTAGGCAAGTGCTAAATAGGTGAGGCGTGTTCAATGCAAGACCTGCTCCCTCTTCTACTTGCTTCGAGGTCAAGGCCTGCAACCGGCTTCTACTTAATTTGCTCGTTGTTGGGGCAAAAGAATTAAGCTAATTAGCTAGATTTGAAAAGCTTGCTTTCTCCCCGTATTGGAAATGACTTGGGAATACTTTTCTACACACTTCTGAAGTTTCATCTTTTTACTAATGGACTTAAATTTATGAACAGTGCAATTGTTTGAAAATGAACATAAAAAAATAAAACAAAGCAAAGCAAAAAGGTAAAAGTATATGAATAATAGTTTTTTTTTCTTTCCAAAAGTCCAAAGTCACTCCTTTTGTCAATTGGAAAAAGCAAAAGCATCGCAAATCTTACAGGAAAGGCCCCTATCAATAAAATAAAAGATTTTCCAACAAAGTCAAAAAAAAAAAAAAGTAAAGAAGAAGTAGAAGAAGAAAAAAGAAAGACGACAAGTTAGGTTTGGTTTGCTTTCATTTTGTCATTTCCTATTCCCGCTGTTAACCTTTCTCATCTCTTGCTGTTCAATATTGTTTTTAGTGCATCTTGTTAAGACTCAGTCTCTCGCTCTCTGTGTCTTGACCATTCCAGAGTGAAATCCTCTCCTTGTGACAACTGTCGCAATTTGGGAGCTCTCCCATTGTTCTCTTCTCTTGGTGTTCCTTGTCATCACCAATTCCTCCCCCTTGGACTCTATATAAATGTACTTGCCTTCTTTGAATCCCATCATGCACGATCTTACTAGCCAACCAATAATGATGATTGATTCAAGCCCACCTCTTCTAAACCATTATGGAGAACTCTCACGCCTCCCACCTCAAATTCCTACACCTGAACGCAATGACCTCCCAAATGGTAGGGTTCTCATGGAGGAATATTGCCAACTCCCTTTGATAGACCTCAGTTTTCTAAATAGCACCAATGAAAGGGAGCGGCTAGCTTGTGCTGAGGCTATATGCAGAGCTTCGTCGGAGTGGGGATTCTTCCAAGTAGTTAACCATGGCATAAACCCTGAGCTAGTTCGGAATATGAGGAGGGAGCAAGTGAAGTTGTTTCAAACACCTTTTGATAAGAAGGCTACCTGTGGGGTTTTGAACAATTCTTATAGATGGGGAACCCCAACAGCTACTTGTCCAAAGCAATTCTCTTGGTCTGAAGCTTTCCATATTCCTATCTCAAAAGTTTCTGAGCAAACTTGCTATGGGGAGTTTAGCTCTTTAAGGTACTACTCTAATCTATTCTTACCATGTTCCAATTTGGTTTCTCTCCACCAGCTTGCCTCGAGAGATAAACTTGAACAGTACAACTCTTGACTAGCAAAACCTACGTCCCTGACCGACTCCTTTCATCTCTCTCTCTCTCTCTCTCTTTTCATACACAGTCACTAAAACTTTAACATTTGTTTCAATTCAATCTCAAGTCTGAAGTAGTTTCATGCAGTATTTGCCCTGCACAGTCAGGAAAATAACTTCATTTTCTTCAGGGTTACCACCCCAAGCACCATGTTCTAGTCCCCTTATTTTGTCACCAACCGCAACGTAATCAGTCAATTAAAATATAAGTAGCCTTCAGAAGCCGCAGGCAATTAAAATATAAATACCTTGATTAGCTTCAGAAGCCGTCCTAACAATCACTGAAGTCAACCTTTCTTCTAATATGCTTGCGCTATCAGTTTCTAATTAATTTGATGGCTTGAATCAACAGGGAAGTGATGATGGAATTTGCAGCAGCGATGTTAAAGCTCGCAATGTTGCTGGCAGGTGTCCTAGCAGAAAATTTAGGCCACCCAAGAGGAGTGTTTGAAAACATTTGTCAAGAAAGCAATTGCTTTCTTCGGTTGAATCGCTACCCAGCCTGTCCAATATCAGCAGAGATTTTTGGCTTAGTGCCCCACACTGATAGCGATTTTCTGACAGTCCTTTCTCAAGATGAAGTTGGAGGCCTACAGCTTATGAAAGATTCCAGATGGGTGGCTGTAAAACCGAATCAAGATGCTCTTATCGTCAACATTGGAGATCTTTTCCAGGTAAAATATTAATTAAATTTCTAATTTCAGTTTTAGTTATCCTGCATTTCAAAGCTAAGATTAGACAAAGTGTCCCATGTAACTAATTAAAAAAATGCTGTACTGCCTGCTCTTGTTCGTAGACATGAAGACCTATAACTAACTCATAACAACGATAATATTCTGATGATTGTTATTATAATCGTGCATCAACCCAACCCTCAAGCTACCAGACCTAGTGCATCGTATTTTGGCTCTTAATCTTTGTCCGACTTGCTCAAGTCAAACCTAGCTATTGAATTTGAATTCCTAGAATATTATAAAGTTAGCATCTGATTCTTTAATTGATATTAAATCTGTCTACTGTAAATGTGAATATCAGGCCTGGAGCAATGATGTCTACAAAAGCGTGGAGCATAAAGTCATGGCTAATGGAAAAATGGAGAGATACTCAATCGCCTACTTTCTATGCCCCTCTTATGACTCCTTGATAGGCAGTTGCAGAGAGCCTTCAATGTACAGAAAATTCACTTTTGGAGAGTACAGAAGCCAAGTCCAAGACGATGTCAAGAGAACGGGCCGTAAGATAGGGCTTCCTAGATTTCTACTTTAACACGACCATCGATAAAGAAGATGTTCAGCATTTAGGTGTCAAAACACAATACCCGAAGCAGCTGAATAGAGAGGCAGAAAAGAACTAAACCAAGTCAGTGTGATCAAAACATATACTGGAGACCAGAATTCACCAATAGTCGCATATGTTCATATTGATTCGCCATCGACTCAAATAAGAAAATGAGAAATATATATATAGATATAGATATATAACATATATGTATGTGTATTATGCATGTTGAAGTCGAGTTTGTTTCCGCCAGTTTCTGCATGGATGGAGTTAAGCCCAAGGAAGATTGATCGCCCTTTAGATTATTATGCAGAGACGTTCAGACTCAAGTAGGCCATTTCAGAAAATAGTTTAATAGCTCATTGCTCATAATCTGGCAACCAAGTGGCCCATCAACGGCCCACTTCGTACGTGATTTTGTTGTTGCTTGTATTGAAGAGCCTCACTCAGAGGCGTGCCCTCTCCTAGTTATATGTTGTACCAAGTTCTACTAGTTAGCTTATGAATCTATTTCCTTGTTTCCTGTCTGCCCTTTCCTTTTCTTTTTGTTTTGTTTGTTATTTTCATCACATTTCCTGTTGCCTTGGGTGCCGAAAAACCTAATTGTTTCTGTGTGCTCCGAACCTTAGATTATGAAACAAATCTGCTATAAGTACAGTTGTAGTAGTGGTAGAGCCTTAGATGTTTGAACAATGAAGTTGAGATTACCCCGACGACCATGCATATGAAATATTTAGGGGTGAGGTTACCATTTCAAGGTAAAGAAACACCACCGTTGAGTGTTCAGCGGGGAAAAATCAAGAAAAGGGAAACGACACCTGTAATGATTTTGAATGGAACACTTCTTAGCTGCAAATCAACATGTCTAAAGTCAAAGTCACAAAAGCTTCAAACCACAGATACAACCTATCTAAAAACATGAACAACGCTCCCATAGACATCAGAAACAGCTGTGTATGTGCGTACTAGCATTGTCCAGAACATGCTTCCAGCTTGCACTTTATTTCAGGAGCTGGAAACCTTTACGTAAGAAATAGGTTTCAGGCTCAGCCAATCTAAAATGGAGTATCTTCGTATGGAATTTACAAACCACCCTGACTTGCACCTATTAACTATCAATACAAGTCTCTTTCAAAGCTTGTCACGTATGAGTTATATAGAACGTCGTAGCTTTAACTTCACAAGAAGCCACTACACCTTTTCTCTCTCAGCAGTTGGAAAGACATGTAAAAGATCAATTCTTACCCAGCTCAAGGCCACTCCATTTCTGTCCTTTCATCATGAAATCTTTTTGTCTCTCTCAGCAGCAGGCACGACATGTAAGAGACCGATTCGTCCAACCTAGCTCCAGGCCAACTCCATGCTTGTCCTTGAATCATCCCACCCATTATTATTTGTGTAATAAGAAGCCCTCAATTAAATATAGCCTTTTAGGTAGCAATTATCAAACTTCAACTAGGTGCAGTTAACAGCTTTTGTGATGAATAAACTTCAGAAAGCCCTGTCCCTGAGCTCTATCTGCAACCAATCATTTAGAGTGCACTCACATTCAATCTGCCAATAGCCCTCCAAAAAATCCTTGTGCCAAACTGAAACGAAAAGCAAGAACAAGACATTAAATCCAATAGAAAGTCAATCAAGAAACTTAAATATTCGCAAAATAAGAAAAGATCACAGCCAGTTGCACTAATAGTATATATTAGTTTACCTATAAAATCAGGCCAATCGTCATCCATCTGAGATCCCTTGTACACGTTCCATCTCTCATTGTTTCTCCAAAGTCAAAAATACCCTAGTAAAAGTTCCACCGATTAAAATTCTGTGACCTACGTATCAAGGTCCTAATCAAATGAATAAAACTATATGTGTGTGTGTGAATCTTAAAAGTGCCACCAAAGCAAATGATTATAGGCTAATCCTATGCTAGTCAACTTGACATTCATGCATAATTTTTCAGCTATCTTGCCATGCCAAAGTGAAGTTAATATCCAAGAGTTCCACGATGATAATAATAATAATAAAATAAAATAAAAAGACTGATACACTTGACATAATAATTGAGACATGACACACGGTCAGTTTTTTGCAAAGATCTTCATTGGAAGCATCAAAAGGGTCTGGATTCATAAAAAGATATTTGTATCAATACCAAAACTGTCAAATAAGCTCTTCAGATGATACCTTACCTTTTCAAGCACAAAATGAAAGCAGCAATTTCTTTCCACGTTCAGTCAATAAAGGTCAAGCATGAATTTATTAACTAATCAAAAGAATATAATACCACCAATACACTCTGAGGTGGCATTTGGTATAAGAGAAGTAGGATTCCCAAGAGCCTGGAATTTAAGATGGCAAGCAATCTTGTGTTTGTCATGAAATCTCATAGTCCCAGGAATGTTAACATGACGAATTTTCCTAGACAATTTTGATCCAATGTTCTTTTACAGGCTTGAGAAGGAACATTGGGATTTCAAGATAGTAACACTAGATTTAATCAGAATCATATTCCATCATTACAGATCATAAAACCATATAAATTAGACAATAACTTCATTGAGCATCCAAAAGCTCTTGGATTGCTATGATGGTGAACGCAAGTTACTATTGCCAAATCATTTTAGTATGTTGAACAAAGTTGGGGTCTAACGGAAAAAGTTGCTGATTTGCTGTTGAAGCATGGTATTGAAGACAGGAAAGTTCATAACAAGTCAATGAGACCAAGTTCCAGCCCTAGCAGAAATATAGTCCTTTGAAAAGGTTTATTTACAAAACATCGACAGAACTGTTATATGTCATCCTTCTGTAATTTGACTAATTTCTACCATTTTTTGCCAAAACATTCAGACTACTGAATAAAAGATGTAAGCAGAAAAACAAACCTAGTAAAATATCATCTGGAGCGAAGTGATGGAAGTATCCAGAAATCGCTTGCTTGATGGAACCAAATTGAGAGGACTACAGTAGCATCTCAACATTTCTGCTTCCCAATAACTGACGGTTCCCTGCTAAGTTGGATCTTTCAATCAGTCAAGCAACAAGGATACCTTGTCTTTAAGGCTGCTCTTCTTCTTTACCATCGGGGGCACCATTTCTTCTCCAACATCATTCTGACTTTTCTTTTTCAACTCATAGGTAAAATCCATATCCTTTGCAATAAATTCAGTGCTCTTCTCTTTCTCCATTGGCTTCTTAAGTAAGGGACCCAAAAACAGATCCAGCATGTCATGTGCAGGATCCCCTGCCCTGGTTGTGGAAATGAGACTTTGTTCACCAACTAAATTCATTGTTGAACTATAAGAAGCAGTAGTTTCACAACTAGCTGAAATATGTTTGTCATCGGGAACAATGAGAGACTCTTCTAAATCATTCTTAGAAGAAGCCGTTGTCTGTAGTTGTCTTTGTAATTTACATTCTCTAATCGATGCTTGTTTTCTCCGTGAATCCTCATCAGCTTCGACATACTGCATTTAGATCATACCATCTTGAGATTTTTCCACACAAGAATATTCAAAATAATAAAAACAGAAATTATTTCGTAAGAACCTTCTTATCTAACCAAGGATCAATCACCAAACACACAGCTTACGCTGTGAAAAGAGTGCATTTCAAGTACAACATCGAAAATGATATACATCTCAACTACAACTCTGTTTCTTAATTGCGATTAAATATTATGATTTGGCAATTCAATTTCACAAGTCTCTGTTGGCATCGAACAATGAAGTTACACATGGAGTGCTTTTTATCATTTGAATGGCTTTCATTTTAACTGAAATTCTTCAACAGTTCTTTTATTTGTAAAACATGACACGCCACCTAGTATTAACTCCGTCTTAAGCAGTAAATGAATCACCTCACCTCCTCGGCAATGCTGACTAAATCTTCAACAGTTAGCTCCGCCTCCTCCTCCTCGGCTTTGATCTCTGCCTTACTTTTTGCTTTCCGTTTTCTCCCAAGCCGATTGGTCGTTTTCTTGTTTATGACGTTGTCAAAACCAGCATTCAATTCTTTATTATCTGTATCTTGGTTACTTTTTCTCCCCTTGGCTTCCAATTTTGAATTCTTTGCCAAATTTCTCTTCTCTCCTTCTTCTTCGGGCTCAGTAGTATCATCACTGTGCCTCTTCTCCTCCTTCTTCTTCTTATCAATATCAGCAGTTACACTAGCACCTAGCATCCAATTAGGTAAACGCCGTGTACTTTCATCGACCATGATCTCGTTCTTTAGCCCTAGAAAAAAACAAAGAAATTCGGGTTTCCAACTATTACTTCATTAATATTCTCTGATTCACCGATTCAAAACAAAAATTTTAAAAGAGGAGAGAGGGAGAGGGAGAGGGGGAGAGAGAGAGAGCTCAAAGAGATTCAATCAGAAAAATCACATACCAGAGGATTAATGGATTGCCCAGAAAAAGTCGAGCTGTAGAGAAGAGATGATATCGCACAAAGGAAATTTCACGATTCAATCGGAATTTTGCCTCGGTTTTCTTCTGTTTTCATTTTTAAGTTGGAATATATAGGTATTACGGCTTTTTTTGCAACTAATGTATTGGTAATTTCGGAACAAATGCATAAAATTAATTAAGCATTTTAACAAATATGATATAAATTACTCAATTTAATTGTCTTAGTTAATACTTCATTTTTTTAGTTGATGCCGAGAGGAATTGGAAATAAGCATGTTAACAAAAGAACCGTAATAAATATGATCCAAATTGTTCAATCTATATTTTCATGTCGTCTATTATATGCTTTATCCTTTCCAATTCTTCTCTTAAAAACCTAGTTTTCAATTGTATTTCCTGTACAACAATTGTAAATAAGCAAGTTAACAAATGAATTGGAAAACCAAATCTCAAGCGGTGCATAAAACCATATCACCTCAATACCTGAGAGATGAAATAGATGTTGGATACAAAACAAGATTGCAAAGTAATGAGCACGTTAAAGGTGTAAAACAACTTGATTGGATATAAATCATGTGGTCCACGAACATTCTTTGACCTCACAAGCAAAACCACGTGAAACCCTTAGAAGTAGATGTGATGTAATTTCCTATCTTGTAATTAAAGAACTAGAAAGAAATGTGGATTCTATAGGAGATCGGATATTGAAAATCCTATATTAAGAACTAAATCAATCAAAAGAGAGGTTTCGTACAACTTGAAAGAAAAACAAAGTAAAAAAGACGTATGAAAACACAAAAAAAAATGTTTAAGAGATGAACTAGAGAGAAGAATATAAAGGAAGAATTACAAAGAGAAGAAACTCGTTTTTGCCAAAATAAAAGACAAAACCAACTTTTCTCTCTCGTAACTAATATACTAGCTGCTAAGCTTAATAATAACTCTAACAAACCAACTTCTCTCTCTCCTAACTAATATACTAGCCATTAGGTTTAGTAACAATTCTTACAAACTAACTACTATGTATTTAGTTATTGCCCTCAATCCTTCCTTTCCACCGTAACACTAACACCAATCTTCTATATCCTCTTTAATCTTCATTCCTTTATACATGTATCAATACCCTCGGTTAATAGACCTTGTCCTCAAGATCAAAGTCCGGAAAACGCCCTTATAAGTCAAAAGCAAACTCTCACGTAACATCAAGTGGAGTGTCATTAGACCACTCGCACCAATAGTTTAGTAGCAACTTGGTTACCATGCTTAACCATCTTTTTAGCCAAAATACTTACCTGGAGTAATTGGTATATCCATCGATATAAGTAATTATCCTTGAACCCGCATCCGACTATAAGCGAGTTTGAGTTGAGAAACATGAAAGATGGGATGAATCAAGAAGTAAGAAGGAAACTCAAGCTTGTATGTTGTCTCTCCAATCTTGTCAATAACCTTGAAAGGGCCAAAATATCGAGGAGAGAATTTCGATTATTGCAAACACTCATCAACTCGTTGTCCGTAAACTTGGAGCTTCAAATACACCCAATCACCAATATTAAAGACTCTATCGGATCTTTTCTTATCGACATGATGTTTCATACGTCGTCGAGCTCTCTATAAATGATATTTTAACACATCAATCATGTATTTCTTCTCCTACAAAAATCAATTCACAGATTATATTCAGTAATCATTTGGTAAGTAAGGTAAGTGTAAAGAAGGAGAACAACCATACAAGGTTTCGAAAGGAGAAATCCTTATGGTGGAATGAAAAGAGGTACCGTATTAGTATTCTACCATACACAACTAGTTACTCCAATTACCGGGAATAGAAAATTTCATATAACATAAATAAGTCCGCAAATACCTATCGACTACCTCGGCTTGCTCATCTATTCGAGGATGGTAGGTAGCAAAGAACTTCAAAAAAGACATGATCTCTATCGAAATAATCGTCCGAGGTAATCCATGAAGTTTATGAATATTTTCCATAAACAATTTGGCCACAGAGCCGTAGAGTAAGTGGAGAGATAAAGACATGAAATGATTATATTTGGTTAACCTATCAAACACAACAATAATGACAATTTTACCTTATGAGAGAAGTAATCCTTTAATAAAATCCATAGTTATGTCTAGAGATTTAAAAGGGTGAGGTCTATTGGTAAAAGGGATGATGGGTGAAGGGATACCGAGATTAAGACGTGTGTTTGTAGTGTGATGAGAATTGGAGAAAGAAGAAGATGATAAACGAGTATGAAATTAGAATGTTAGGATTATTAGGCCGAGTGGTGATATTTTTATAGGAACGGGTTGAGCCGATGGGCTATGGGTTTAGAGGTGTGGAGGTGGTCGATATAGGCTAGGACTCGATGTGGTGTCTATTGGTAATTAAGTTGGGGATAAATGGTCGAAATGGTTGGATGTGTTTGGAAAGGACAAATTTGGAACGGTCTAGGTTGGGTTGGATTTGTAATGGTAGGCCGATTTGGTAACACTTTGAGTGATGAGGTTTGTGGGTTTGATTAATGATGAATGGTAGTGGGTGATGAGTAAAAAAATTGGGCTTACTGGAGATAAATTGAGTAAAATGACAGATGATGATGAACTAGATGCGGGAGCATCTTTAACTTCCTTAAAGAGGAACACTTATTCATTGAATAAGACATGATATAAGATATAAATTTTTCAAGTAATAATTTCTAAACATTTATATCCTTTATGTAATTTATCGTATCCCAAGAAAACACAAGCTTTTAATCTAGGGGCAAGTTTGTGAGGGGCATAGGGCGTAACCGGGGGTAACATTGATAACCAAAAATTTTGTAAAAGGAACAATCGAGTTGTTGGTAAAAAGAGCGATTCAAAGGGAGTTGGGTGGTTTAATAAAAGGGTTAGGAATGCGATTAATTATGTAAATAGCAATATCAAATGCTTGAAGCCAATAGATTAGGGGAACAAATGATTGGTTCAACAAAGCAATGTCGGTTTGAATAATATGGTGATGCTTACATTAAACACAATCATTTTGTTTAAGTGTATAAAGGCAAGAACTTCGTTAGGTGATGCCATTATCATATAAGTATTTAGTCGAATTGGTATTCACCATCCTAATCACTTGAATGTTTTAATAAGGCGATTAAAGAATTTCTCAACAAGATTTCAAAATTTAATCAACACGTTCGTAACTTTAGATTTGAAATGAATAAAATAAATCCAACTATATTTACAAAAGTGGTCAAAGAAAATCACATAATAACGTGTCCCTTCAAAAGAGTAAACAGGGGAATGACCCCATAAATTAAAGCAAATGAGATCTAATGGACTTTAAGCTTAAAAATTAGAGTTAAAAAATGGTAATTTCTTAGCCTTTCTTGTATAACAAGTATCATATAAACTAGTAGGCGTTTTATTAAGAAACAAAATTTACGAATTATGTAATGCACGCCTAATTGTTCAAATGGAAGCATGGCCAAATCTAACATGCCATATTGATAATGATACAAGATTGGCATGAATAGACTTTGGCATGGAAGATTGAAACAGAGAATAAAGATAATTTTTTAAGGACTCGCGATAAAGCTTCATCTTCTTTCGAATATCCTTAATAACAAAATAAAAGGGAAAGAATTCAATAGAAACACTCGTTAGATTTGGTGAATGAAGAAATAGATAATAAGTTGTGATGAGCTTATGGAACATGTAATATAGATTTGAGGGTAAAGGAAGTGTTACCAAGAGAAATAGAGCTTGATCCAACGTGGAAGATAGAGAGTTTAGAGCCATTACCTATTTGAACTTCCTTAGGACCAAAATATTTAGAGTGAACACCGATGTTCTCCAAGTCAATAGTTAAGTGATGTGTTACACTTGAGTCCAAGATCTATGGCTAGGAATTGATTGCCATTAAAGAGGTTGGTGAATTATTACTAGAACAAGTGGAATGATGGATTTTTGGGCTTGAGTCCAAGATCCATAGCCGAAGCCACGCCAATTTAGGCACTCGGATAAGACCATAGACCGAGCTTGAATTTGAGGAGCCTGAAGGGAGAGGTAGTATGCCATTAGTATTGGAATGTCCTATGTTATTGATGTAACCCCCGTAAAAACCTTTATCCATAATGCGACGTGTATTAGAATAATTCTATATATATGTATATTAAGAGTAAGTATAATTCTCATTTCATCATGAGAAATTAATGCTTGAAATATGTGATTTATGTTAAATTAAAGTTATTGTGCTTAAGATTAATGGTTTAATTATTAAAGAAATCGAACATGCAAAATCAGTGTTTTAAGGACTATATTCTGCCCGAGTTTTGTGTGAATTATTTGAGAACTTTAGAGTAATTTTTGGGTCAACCTTAAAGAATGAAAGTTGTTCATCTATGTGTTTAATATGCCTGTATAAAAATTTATAATATTTGGACCTATACATTAAGAGTTATACCAATTATAGTGAGGGTTGTTTCGAAATGCATTCTGCTGGAATTTTGAGAGAAGAATCTGCCCGAATCTTGTGAGATTTATTTGATGCTGTTAGAATGATTTTTGAGAAAAACGTAAAGAATAAAAGTTGTTTTTCTATGTGTTTACTAGCTCTATATAAAATTTCATAAATTGTGGATACATATAGAAAGAGTTATGCACATTTTAGTATAGATGGGTTAGGAGGAAACACTGCTGGAATTTTGGGAGGAAAAGAAACTCCGAATTTTAAAAATGGAATTTCTGAATTATTGATGAAAGAAATTTGTCTAATTACATTAACCCAGCTTACTAATGTTTTTTTATTTATCCTAACTTTTCTTTAGCCACCTAAGCACTTGAATTAAATGCTTAGAAGCCAAATCATCACCTTTGACTTCCAAAACATGCCAGCTTTGCCTTCCAAGCTTCCTCCACTTTACATTTGGCCTAATTAAATTTTAACACTTATGATATAAATAAATGTGAGGATAAAAGGTGGGTATATAAGGGAAAGAGAGGGTTAAATGGCTGCCATTTTTAGGTCAAAAATCGTAGCCATCCAGAATTCAAAAGAGAAGCCAAATTGAAGAGAGAAAAACAGCAAAAAGAGAGAAAGAAAGAAAAGAGAAAGAAAAGGGAAAAAGGAAAGAAAAAGAGCTAAAGAAATTCTAATCAAACTTAAAAGAGGTAAGTAGGTTTCATTTATTTTGGTTGATTAATGTCTTAAATTATTTTTTTAAAGTTATTTTGTTAGTGTTTATTTCATGGGTTGTAATAATTTTCAATGGTTATATGCTTGATGCTTAGAATAAATCTATGTATGGATGCCTTGTTGTGATGATTTATGATGTTTATGTTGCTTTGAAAATGTCCAAGTATGTGGTGATGGGTTGGATTGAACTTGGACCAAATTTAAGTGAACTAAAACATGTTTAAAGTTGGATTGGAATGAACTAATAAATTAGTGTTAATAAGGAGTCAATTCTGTCCGAATTTTGGGGTGTATATTCAAGGATTTTAGATCGATTTCTAGGTGAAACTTAAAGCATAAAAGTTGTTCATCTATGTTTAAACTAACTCCTTTTAAAATTTCTTGGTCATTGGATTCATGTACAAGGAGTTATACCCGATTTAGTATGGATAGCTCTAGATAAACCACTATTAGGCAGATTGCTCCCTAAGTTTCAAAAATTTATAATTAATTTTGTAATTGGTATTTAGACCTAATTTTTGGATATGTTATAAATAAATATGTCTAGTATCTAAAATAAAATAAGTAAGATTTAATTATTTTCTGAAATTAGAAAATTATTTACTCGATTAGGAGTTGCTCGGTAATAAACCCTAAAACAAAAAAAATAGACTTGGACAAAATTAATAGGTTTGGAATAAACTAAATGAGCTTGGACTAAATAAAATGGAATTAAATAGAGTCAATGGGCCTAGGATAAATTTAATGGGCTCGAATTAAAGTAAATGGACTTGGACCTTCTTTTAAATATTAATGAAACTAATAAACAATATTAATGAGCGGAGATTGTGTTCCCACTTGTGGGTATCGGGATTGGTATGTGAGAAATGAATAAATTTCGAGTGTGGGTTGGACCATGAGTATGGCATGAGAATGAAGGGTTGGTACCCGAATTTGGTTGAATGTGATTAAATATGTCATCACGTGCATCATGTGCATAGTGGGTGGTTTAAGACAAGTCAATTGATTGAAAATGGTTTATATATCTAGGTTTGATAACCTAACTGGAATAAATGGGTATTAGTAGTCCAAGTACTCTAGGATGTGTGCTCGCACTATTAGACGATCGATTTCCGCTAATAGTAGTTACAACGAGGGATAATTCCATTGTAGCGAGAAGATGATCCGAGGATCATCCGGATGAAATCAAACTGTGTGCTTACCTGTTAGACGATGGATTCTCGCTAACGGTAGTTACAACGATGGATAATTCCGTTATAGCAGAAGGTGATCTCGCGGACCACCCGGATGATAAATAGAGTAAACTAGCTAATACCCGGGGTACTCGAGATTAAAATTTATGAGTATGGTGGGAAGTCAAAACAACATTGCATATCACGTGCATCACCCCGCTTACCGAGCTTCGGCTCACCCCGTTGTTATTTTGTTATGTCTTGACGAAAAAAGACGAGTTGGTACGGATGCGGTTGGCTCCTCCTAACCGGCTCATGTGAGGCACTATTTATTAGTTTTTATTTTGTCCGTAAATTTGGGGTATGAAGTTCGTGAGAAATTGAATATCGCCCGTAATGTTTTATTAATGTATTTAATTATGTTATGTAAATTTTATTTTAAGGAGTTATATACGTAATGTACTCGTTAAAGTCCTAAGAATATCATAAGAAAACTACTTAGAGTTTAGGGTATGTCGGCGTAACGCGCTTCGTCCGATACCTACTTGGGTAGTAGAAATATGACCGGGCGGAGCCGTTACAATCGAAGCTCGAGGAATAGCTTCATCTATGTGGAAAAAACTAGCCATGATTTCTACCTCTCCCACGACTCGTGGAGAATTTTGGTAAATGTGCAGCAGGAAGCACTCGGTTCAAAGGTCGCCGCATCTTTGCCCAATCGGGATTCCTCACTAAGGAAGAGGCCATACAAGTCACCAAAGGAGATAGGTTGAAGGCATGCTTTAATACTTTACACAAAGGGTTTATATGCAAGACCAAGGCCATTTAGAATGTCCGAAATTAAATCATCCGTATGAATGGGATGATTTTATGCCGAGAGTTGATCAAATATCATCTTGGTGCGGGTCATGTAGGTAGAGATGGAGTTATTTTTGTGACCAAGATTATGCAAGAAGATCTCGAGTTGACGAATTTAGGTTATAGAACCTGGAGGCATAAGTTTTGGCAAGCTTTTGCCAAACATCACAAGTAGTTTTTACTCCTACTATTTGAGAGAGCGTGGATTCTATGAAGGAGTAAGCGATCTAGCCGAGAACAAGTTGATATGTTTGGAACCATGTTGAATATTCTAGGTTTGGAGTTTTGTTAGCAAGATATTGTGGAGGAGAAGCAACGAGCCATCAATATGATGAGCTAAGTTATGGACACGGATAAGAGGATAGAATCGGGTCCGCCATAGGAGATAGTTAGTAGAGTTAAACTTGATAGATAGTTGACTTGTGTTTGAAAAATTTGAAACTATGGAAGTGAACCTCGAGGCAATGTCATTGGAGCTAAGAGCGAGTGGATGAGTCATGAAGGGAGATGTGAGACATGTTGGAAAAATAAAGAGAATGAATGTGATACAGGAGAAAAGCAAGGGATAGAAAAAAGAAAGAAAATCGGGAGAATGACCGATTAAGTCTTGTACACCTCCGATACCATGAAAGAGTTACGAGTTTATTGAATGTATTTATAATAAAGTAGACTATTTATATGTGAGTCTACAGGGTTTGTTACAACAACTATTTGAACATTTAAAAATACTATAGAATTCTATCTACTTTTGAATTCTAGTCCGAATGGTATCTATTTGAAATATTTATATGGTCAAAATTCTAAGTATTGTATTTTGTTCAATATTCTCAGTAAAAGTCCATTTTATAAAAAATTATTTATATATAATTCTGAAAAAAATATTTTAGAAAAGTATAAAAAAATATACTAATATAACATAAAAATTAATTTTTTTTAGTATGTATAAAAAGTAAAAAAAGATGACAATGACAGAAAAATAATATTTTAACACCACAAAACACTTCTATTTCTGTAAGAAAGAGGGATGACAATTTCAAAGAAATTTTAAGATGCTCAAAGAATGATTATCAATAGATATTCTATAAAAAAAAAAAAAAAACTTATTCTGTAGAACAAATAGGTACAAAGAAAAGAAAAATTAAGAATAAGAAAAAAAATTGAATTTATATGAAAATATTTTTTCTTAGAAATGTGATTCTTTTTATTTATCTTTGGTCTTGAAATAAATTCATAAAATAAATATTGTTTTTTTTTTCTCTCTTTGTGTTGCCTGTGCCTCCTCCTAATGAATCCATATTTTAAAATTTCTTTCATTTTCGATACCAACAATAATCTACGTGTCTAAATCTTTCAAGAACAAACAAACGGAAAGGTCTAGAAATTCACCAAAGACATGCGGCCCAAATTGAAATTGAATTCAAACCACTGTTTCCCAAAGGCAGTGTGTTTAATAGGCACATAGTTACTCTACATGTTTTGAGATAAAAAAAAAAATTACGTTTATATCATTTTTTTTTATATAAAAAATGATGTATATAAATTTATGTCGAAGATAAAATCTAAGATTTTTCTAGAAGTAATTAATATAAATATTACGCAAATTATAATAAAGGAAATACAAACTCTGAGTTATTATTAAAAAAAAATTACTTATTCATTCATCCATCCGTTTGTTGGCAGTGGCCAATGCGTTGAGGGGAATTAAAGAATAGCAAATTAAAACCAGAGAGAAAAATAAAATACGGAGGCTGCTGAATGTTAAGCGTTGAAAGTGAAATATAAATCGGCAGTGGGCCGTGGCCATAAAGACAGCCACGATAATTATAATGCTAGTAATTCTAAGAATCATAATAATAATAATAATAGTGGTGAGTGATAATTTGAGAGAGGAAGAACCCAGACGGAGACAAACCAACCAGCTAAATTTATCCTCAACAAAACACACCATATCTGCTAGCAGGCGGTAGATATCAGATAAACAACCACCGAGAGAGTGAATTATAGCCATAGCCATAAAGCGAATCGGATTTCTCTGCTTCGTCTTCTTTCTTGAGACTCTACAAGATTTCCCTATAGGAGAACCAATAAAACAAGGAGATGGCAGTGTTTACAGCAGCATCAACAACATGGTTTTCCTCTACAAAGCAGCAGCTTGTCCAGTTCAACGACATTAACGGTCCAACCCTCACTCACAACTTCAAGGAAAAATTCCCACAAAAAAGAGCAATCACTACGTCTATGGGTCTCACGGTCAAGGCTTCCTTTACCAAGGGAGGTCCTGGAGTCTTGGAACGCCCCACTTTCGACCAATCCCAGTTTGACCCTTCTTCTCAAGTTCTTGAAGGTCTCTCTCTTTTTCTTTCTTTATTTTTCTATATTTTCTCTTATCTTCCTTTTTGTCTATTGTAGTTTAATCCAATACTCATGGCAATTAATCCATAAACGAAGGAGATAATATCTCTTGACAAGATTTGGCTTTTTTTTTTTTTTTCAGTGAATGATGCACTTGATTTTTCACTAACTAGGTTCGCCATTTTTTTCCGCCTTTAGCCCTTTGTTTGCTCCCTCTTCATTTGAGTGGGAAGGAAACATTAAGTCTGTATGAGAATGTTTTGATTTACTCTCCATCTTGCTAATACTTTTGCTGTGTGCCTTTTTTGGTTTAATTCAAACAGGTGTTTTTTTTTTTTTTTTAAATAGTGTTGCTGTAATAGGTAGCATTCCTGAAAGTTGTGGTGGATTATATAGCTAGACTTTGGATTTCTTATTTTGACTTCTCTTTGTCAAACCAGGTGGGGACATCGGACGACTAAGGGATAAGAGAGGTGTTGGGAGTGGAGATAGCTATAGAGTCTTGCTAATTGATGATGTTCGCCATTCCGAAAGCTTAGGTATGTTGTTTGAGTCTATTTCTCATTTTATGTATCCAAATAAAGATGGAGTGGATACTCTTTAGAAGTATAGCAAGTCTAATTTATGGATTTTTTTGTTGCCTCTAGCATATCGGAATTTTATGGATCCCACTCTACTGTGTGCCGTGTGGTTAATTAAATACTTAATTGAACAAGTTTAAGTAGATGTAAGCATAAACTTTTCATGCTCTCAAGTTCTAAGATCGTTAATTGTGATCTCTGTGAAGGAACGTATATGAAGCTGCTTGAGAGTTAACAAGCTAGAAACCGGAAGTCGGGAGTTTGTTGCTAATTACTTTCAATTTTTATTGGAACTGAGCAAGTTATAAGAGAAGTTGAAACATTACATATCACATTTTATCTTATGTACTTATTGCTATGAGTTTTCATTTTTTGTGTAGTTGCAAAGGTATTACCTCAAGTTGTTCCATCAGTTACGCCCGATGTTGCTAGAAAACTATTTCACGAGTCACGTGAAAATGGCTTAGCAGTTGTTATTGTTGCAGTTAAGGTATAATTCTTCCACTGCATCATATAAGTTATACCCATATCTCACTTCTTCGTAATTGGTTGAATGTTGTCTTAAATGTCTACACGGTTATGCATAATAATCATTTGGATAATATACATTGTCAGGGTAAGCCTAAGGGTTGTCCAGTCGAATAAACCTTAATGTAGTGTAATTATGTTTAGGATTCCTTTCGTAACCGAATCTCCTTGCATCATATCATGTTGTGAAATGCAGGTCATTATGGTAAAACAATAACATCTCACTTTAATACACACACACAAACCAGTATGCTAACTTCCAATATTAGCAACCTCGTTGCAAAATATTGCCTTTGGCTCCATTGTCATTCCAAGGCATACAAAGGAGGGTGTGTCATAGCTGTCCTTAGTTTATAGTAATATGAATAATAGAGTTATTTTCATTTGGCAGCATACCATGTAAGTCAACAGTTGAGATATCAAGTACTTATGCATTCTTGTGTACATCTTTCCTAAACCATCTTTTAAATTGTACCATATCTTGGTAACTGTTGTAGAAATCGTAGAAGACCCCAGAGGAATGAGGAATTGCCATCGACATTATGGCATTGTGATCCATGTACCAGCACTCATATGCACACAGCATTAATCTCCTTTTCTTTCGACAAAACCTTTGTTGCAAGAAATTTTATTAATTTTGCTTTTATAGTTGAACCAAATATTGCCACCTAACAAGACAACAGAGTTAGCTGATGCACCTATGATGTGGAAATATTATATTGATGGCTGATTTTCACATGACAATGGAAAACATGTTTAGCACTAAACTTAGGACTGTTGGTCTTACTTGCACTTGTTGGTTGGTTTAGATAACCATGATTTAGTGAGTTGCCAAGTTAAGCTATCAAAGATTAGTAATTGCTGAAATTTTGATTCTTGTTTACAGGAACATGCTGAGTTTTATTCCCAGATGATGATACGTGGTGGGTTACGATCGACGATTGAGCCAGATTCGAGTACTGTGTAAAGCTGTCAGCTATAATTCAGTAGATGCAAAAATGGAAGTTAAGGCAATTTTGAAAATTTCGGAGTTTTTTCATTTCGAGAAAAGGAGAAGAGAATGCATTTCAAATGATAAAATGGCTTTACAGACACAAAGAATCAGCATTCTTATTTTACCGATATTTAGTATAGAATATGCATTGTAGCTCAAGAATATGTACTGGTAGATCTTTAGAAGAGCTTAATTATATACTGTCTTCAAAACATGAACTGATAGTAGTTAAATCACTAGTAAGATGACTTATGTGGCACGATTCACCACTTTGAATGCTAGCAATTTAAGGTGTGGCATGCAGAACTGAAAATAGGTCGCTCGTGTCTTCAATTATGATGCTCCCAACTAGCATCAAGTCAATTGAAATTTACGAGGACACACAGCCAAGCACGTAAGATATTGTTGCATTCCCTGCCGGTGGTTTGATATGTGCTGCATAATATCTCAGTAGAAAGGGTATTAACAAAGAAAAAACTAAATATTAGTTTAATATTCGTTAGTATGGTTTTAAATATTATTCATTCAGATTCATGCATTATGTGTATTTTTTAAGTTTTCAAATTTTTTAAAAATATTTATTATGAAAGTTTTTAGGGTATTATATATTCTTTTTCTAAATATTATTTTTTTGATCTGTAATTTTTTTATTTCATTGTGATTCTTTTTTTTTTTTTTCATTTTGATTATTTTGGTCCTTGTTTTTTTTCTCTTTGATTTTTTAAATTAAAAATTTTAAGGAAAAAGATATTTGAAAAAAAATAATTTATAAAATAAGTTGTTAGTTAAGAATCCATTGATTTTGATTTTTTTTCCTTATATTATGATAAATTTTTTTAGTTAAAAATACAAATATAGATAAAAAAAAATAATATTTTTAAAATAAAAAATTATGAAAAATATAAAGAATAATTAGTTAAAAACAAATTTTTTATTAAAAAATCATAAAATTAACTGAATTTTTATTCAGTTTTGATTTGATAAATTTTATAGATGTATGTGTTTAAAATGAAATAATTTTTTAAAAATAATTTTATGTGTTTTGTGTCGATCATTGTGTTGATAAAAAACTAGCTTATTATTATTGGCATATTTGATAAGTAAATTATAAATTTGTCCCCTATTCTTTAGAATCTAATTAACTAGGTCCTCTAGTCTAATTATGTTCTTTTCTAATATTTTTTGTTCTTTTGTTTAAAAAAAATAGATATTATGAAAAAATTAATGAAAAAAGAAGATATTTTTTTAAATAAAGTGGAATGAATAAAATTAAGTTTGGTCAACATGTGGCAGGAAATTAAATAATTAGTTTTCAAAATAAGGAGGACTACTTGATTTTTTACTCAAAACTAGAGGGACAAATTATAACCTACTCTATATTTGATTTTTTACCCGTATTTTTTTTCTTGAAAAAAATTTCTATCGTTAAAAAAAATAAAAATAAAACATCGTTACTGGGCGAAGCCAAGAAAATGCCCCAGCACTCTTGGTTAGCTATTTTTCAAGTGTATTGGTGTTTTTTTTTTTTTTTCAATTGGTGTTTATAAGCTTGGTAACTGCTCATAAAAAATGATTTAAATTATCATTAAACAAAAAGAGAATAAAATGAAATTTTATCAAAGATCAAAAGAGTTGGATTTCTAACAATCATATTTAAAATTCATAAACTTGAAAAAAAGAGAGAGGCAAATATTAAGTCATTTAAGCATAAAAAAAAAGATTATGAACGAGCACGATAAAGATCGAGGAGGCAACAGTTCATTTCCTTGTACTTTTAACTGTTTATTTTAATACGTGTTTGCTCATTAATTAATGCACCAAAATTCCAAGGAGCAACTTATTTTCTAGATAGATTTAATAATAAAAAAAAAATCTTATTGGATGATGTGCTGCCAAATTCCCATATTCGTACTAACTGACTCAATTTTCAGGGAAAAAAAGGGCATCCTCAATCTCACAAACCCGCTTATGCATAGTTTTTTTTTTAATAGAAAGAAAAATTTTGCTCGCATCTAAATGAAATTTAAATGATACATATTATGTTTTTTTTTCAAGAAAAGCAATTGTGTTCATATATAGGCCTCATTGTTGGAGTTTTTGTTGTGATTCGTTAAAATTGATTTGATTTCGGGAGAAGAATTTGTATTTTTTTTTAAATTATTTTTTGCATTTGAGAATTAAAAAAAAAAAAAAGGATGGGAATACACGTTAAACGATTTAAAATTTCGAGGAATTTTCCATGTTAATCCAGGTTAGGGATTTGCATTGGAAAGTGAAAATCTACATCAACACAAATTATTCAAAAAAACTAAAATAAAACCATGTTTTACTATTTATATCACTATTTGAAATAATGTTCATACACCCACAAATCACTCTTATTTTCACTATTTATATCACTTTTGTAACACTTTGGTCGTCAATTTTATTTATACTTTTTTTTTAAATTTCAAACTTTAATTGTATTATGATTTGATTCCATTTTGTTTTATTTTTTAATTATTTTTATTATTTAAATTTTACTTGTTTAAATTTGTCCTTTTTTTAAACTCTCTCTTATTTTTTTTTCAATTTCAAACTTTAATTTGTTAATTATTTTTATTATTTAAAATTTACTACTTTAATTTGTCTTTTTTTTTAATTCTCTTTTCTTTTTCAATTTCAAACTTTAATATATTGTAATTTGATCCTATTTTGTTTTAGTGTTTTTTATTAATTATTTTTATTACTTAAAATTTACTACTTTAATTTGTCATTTTTTTTAAATTCTCATCCAATTAATTTAAAATTATATTTATTGACAATTTTGATTTATTTTTTTATATTTATCGATTTTGAAATAAATTTTTAGAACATGATTATTTTTCTTTTGAAAAATATATTTAGATAATTTTTAAATTATAGTGGCATGATTAATATATATGATAGTTTTTGAAATATATTTTTACATGAAAAATGTATTTCAAATAATTTTTTCTTGATTTTTTAGATATTATTTAAAATTTACTACGTTAATTTGTCATTTTTTTTTAAATTTCAAATTTTAATTGTATTGTGATTTGACTATTTTGTTTTAGTTTTGTTTGTTAATTATTTTTATTATTTAAAATTTACTACTTTTTTTAAATTCCTATTTAATTAATTTAAAATTATATATATTGACGAGTTTTGATTTATATTTTTATATGTATGGATTTTGGAACAAATTCTTAGAATATGATTTTTTTTCTTTTGAAATATAGATTTAGATAATTTTTAAATTATAGTGGCATGATTAATATATATAATTTTGTCTGAAATATATTTTCAGATTAAAAGTGTATTTCAAATAATTTTTTATATTTTTTAAATTTTACTACATTAATTTGTCTTTTTAAAATTTTTTTTTCTTTTTCAATTTCAAACTTTGATTATATTGTGATTTGGTTCCATTTTGTTTTAGTATTTTTTGTTAATTATTTTTATTATTTAAAATTTACTACTTTAATTTATCATTTTTTTAAATTCTCATCCAATTAATTTAAAATTATATTTACTGATAGTTTCGATTTATTTTTCTATATGTATGGATTTTGGAATAAAATTTTAGAACATGATTATTTTTTCTTTGAAAAATAGATTTAGGTAACTTTTAAATTATAATGGCATGATTAATATATATAATTTGTTTAATATGTATTTTTAGATTAAAAGTCTATTTTAAATCATTTTTTCTTGGTTTTTTTAGAAAAAAAACTCAAATTAATTAATTAATAGTTAAAAGTAAAATGTGAAAATAAAAAGAAGATAGTTGCTCTGCACGTGAGGCCTGTATTCAAGGATTAGCCATGCATAGCATAAAAAAAATATTTAAGAAGGAATAAAAAAAGAATTCACATGTTTTATTAATTTTTTTCTTTTTTATATAATCAAAATTAATCGAAATCAAATTTGTAATAGTTTTTATTTTAGTCTATTAACTTCAAATTTAGTTAATAGATTCTTTGCAAGTTAACTCTGTTTTTTTTTTTTTTTATAGTATTTTTTGTTTTAGACTGAAAACTCTAAACTCACTTAGTATAGTTATGATGTATAAAAAAATATCGAATCGTTTTTTTTTATAGAAATTAATTGTGTAACTACTATACTAAGCATTTACTATTTATTTATTTATTTTTGAATATTTTAAAATTAAATTATTTTAAAATAAATAATTAAAATTATGTTTTGAGTTAACCACTCAATGATTCACATTAATATAATTTTAACATCAATAAATATTATTTTTTCCGTCAAGTGGCATCTTCTTTTGCTTATAAATATGATTAATAAGTAAGTTACATATAATACACTAAAACCTGGTTTATTGATATTAAACGTATCAAAGATATCGATGTTAAACCTATTAAAAAGTTGCATATTTTCCTTTCTACAGCTTGCATTATATATATATATATATATAATCAAATGAAACTATTAAAAAATATTTCGATCAAATTGGTGATTGATTATAGATCATATTTATCAAATAATCACAAAATCAATCTAAAAAAATCTAAAAAAAAGAAAAAAAAACCAAATTATAACAAAATAAGCAATAGAATCAAACCTTTCCACTAGAGAGTATTAGTTTTTTTAGCCCGCGCTACGCTTCAGAGTTAAATAAAATATATAAAATCATTTATAAAAATTATTTTAGTTTGGTAGTCTATTTATAGTGTGAATCTTTAACAATATATGAAATCAAAGGTAAAAAAAAAAAAAAAATTAATTTATTATAATTTTTTAATAAAAAATTTTGTATTTAACTATTTCTTATTTGTGTTTTTCATAATTTTTCCTTTAGAAAAAGATTTATCCTTGTTAATCTATGGATTATTAACCAAAAAGAAAATTAAATAATTTTTTTTAAAAAAGCTTTAGTAATTGTTATTTATGTTTTTTGGCACAATCTTTTAAAATACTAAAGATTTTTTAAAAAAATTATTTAATTTTCTTTTTAGTTAATAATCCATAAATTAACAAGGATAAATCTTTTTCTGAAGGAAAAATTATGAAAAACACAAATAAGAAATAGTTAAATACAAAATGTTTTATTAAAAAATTATAATTATTTATTTTTTTTAACCTTTGATTTCATATATTGTTATAGATTCACACCATAAAACAGACTATCAAACTAAAATAATTTTTATAAACGATTTTATATATTTTATTTAACTCGCAGCGTAGCGCGAGCTAAAAAAACTAGTACTTTCTAGTATAAAAGTTTGATTCTGTTGCTTATTTTGTTATAATTTGGTCTTTTTTTTTTTTTTACATTTTTTAAGATTGATTTTGTGATTATTTGATAAATATGATCTATAATCAATCACCAATTTGATTGAAATATTTTTTAATACGTTTAATATCAATAAATCAGGTTTTAGTGTATTATATGTAACTTACTTATTAATCATATTTATAAGCAAAAAGAAGATGCCACTTGACAGAAAAAATAATAAAATAAAAGGATGACAAGTTCACTTTGGTTAGCTCAATGTTCATACATGCTTTCGATCCTATTGCTGTATAGGTAAAGATAAATTAAGACTCGACTGTAGACTTTTCATTAGGAATATGTTATATATATTTTTTCATTATCGTTAATTATATTTGTTAAACACGACCGACCTCACTTTTATCGTAGTAGATATATTTGCAAGACATTAGATTCATTTAACCTTTATAAATAACAAATTTTGATTTTTAAATGGCTAATATAGGATTAAATTGATTTTTTAAATTTTTTTGTAACTTTGTAACTTTATCAATTTTGCTCCTTTTTTAAATTGTTTTAAGAAATAGAAAAAAATTTAAAAATATGGAGGGTTAATGAGAAGAAATGAAATTTTATAAAAAAATAATATTAAATTAAGTATGATTAAATAATTAATTTTTGAAAAAAAACTAATTAATTCGTTTTTTAAAAAAAGAAGGTCTAATTTATAGTTTATTGTTTAACGAGACTAATAGGCTAAGCCCAAAAAGGACTATAAGCCCAGAACAAAATCAAGCCAGAGTCGGACTCTCCGTTGGCGGTAACTTCACAGGCCTCTGCTTCATTCCCACGCTAGTTACAGAAGCCCATGACACAAACGCCCTTGAAAACCCTCTTGTCGTCTGAAACGTGAAACCCACGCAGTTTTTCGTATGCTATGTGCGTATGCTCTCCGCCGTTTCTTGTCCTCCTCTCCTCTCCTTCTCTCTAAACCTCCTAGCCGTCTCCTCTCCTCCTCCTCCTCGTCGACAATGGCTGCCTCCAACTCTCACCCAAGAGACGAAGACTATCTCAATACAGTAATCCCCAAACGTATCCAACTCTTCCAATCCATTCAATCTGAACAGCTCTCCCGCCTCCAGTCCCTCCCTCACGACTCCATCAAGTAAAACTCTAAATTTTCCATTTTCTTCTATGCCTGGAAAAAAGATTGTATTCTAATTTTTTGGGGGGTTTTAGGATTACTTTGCCTGATGGGACAGTGAAGGAAGGAAAGCGATGGCAATCATCTCCTATGGATATCGCGAAGGAGATTGCGAAGAGTGTGGCTGCGAATGCATTGATATCTCAAGTCAACGGAGTGTTGTGGGACATGAATAGGCCTTTGGAGGATGATTGCGAGCTTAAGATTTTTAATTTTGAAAGCGACGAAGGACGCGACACCTTTTGGCATTCCAGTGCTCACATTCTCGGCCAGGTATCTGAGCGAGTTTGATTAGCGGCAAGGTAAAACTATCTTTTTACTTGAATTTTAATATCGGGTTTAATCATGGTGCGGTACAGGCACTTGAGACGGAGTATGGTTGCAAGCTTTGCATTGGACCCTGTACCACAAGAGGAGAGGTACAATATATATTTTAGGCACATAGAGATTCAAGTGTTCCTCAATTTGTTGATCTTTTGGCTTCGATTTCTGGTTCATTGATGCTTATTTCTGTAATGTCGGTTATTTTATGAATAATATTTGTGGACACTAGTTTTCGTGATATCAAAAAATGAAACATTGCTGGGATTGTCAAGTTGGTTGACATCTTTTGATCTGGTCTGCTTCTTACAACTTGCTGTCAATATTTATTGGTGAGATCGTTGCCTGTCACAACTCACAAAAATAGTCAAGGGATCTTACAATGAGGCTCATTATACCAGCAGTGTAGTTTATGGAACTAATCACTCTGATTTAGTTGTTTATTCAACATAAGAAATCCTCTTTTTCCTAGATTCAAGTGCTTTTGTTGAGAGCATGAACTTTTATCCAAGTTTAGAGCTTGTTTAGTCAGTTAAAATGATGAACTGATATCCGATGTGGCTAAAAGGTGATTTAAATTGCCATACTTAGTTTCCATGTTTAAGTCTCTGCAACTATCATCTTGATTTTTCAACTCGTGCTTCAACATATAATCTAACCTTGCTGCTCGGACATGTTTATGAGCCATCATTCTATTTTCCACAATTCCATTGATTGCAATTCTCTCTGTATCAACCTCTACATCAAGTAACAACCAGAGAGTTAGGAAAATTTTTACTGATAGGTTAAATTGTTTGTCAGAGAAATCGTTTTTCATAAAGATTTTTCATATTTACTAAAGCAGGTGGTGTTATGGTGATTTTTTTGTTTTTCTTTCCAAATTTCATGTTTGTAAGCATAAGAAAAGATTTTTCAGATTGTTTGTTTAGCGAGCTGGGAATCTGTCTAGAAAAAAATGTGGGTTTAAATCAATGTTATCAGGAATGCGGTATGAAATGTGGTTTGCTGCCCCCTCTCCCCAAAACGTGGTACGAGGGGTTGAGCTAGTAGCTTGCTAAGCTATAGTATGCGGATTAGATAACTCTGGTTTAATTTATCAGACAGAAGAAGCAACATCTAAGCTTGCATATCTGATGAGTATTATCAGAAAAGTTTATTTCTGTGATATTCCTCTAAGTTATAGTATGGAGAATTGCATTAATGTATTTCTTTTTCAATGAAGCTGGACTTATTATCATCATTATTATTGATGTCCTTGATGAGTGCCGTTTAGTGGGGCTTCGTCTTTTAGTTGGTCATTGGGACTGTAACATGTTTGTGACCATGAAATGTATGAGCTCCAGCTCATCCAGTGCAATTATCTTCATCATTTTTATCTTTTACATGCAAATTATCTGGATGGTTACATGACCCCCCCCCCTCCCTGACAACAAAAGTTAGAAACTCGATGTTCCTGTTTTAATTGCTTAAAAATGTTGCATTTTCATCATGCCTTTTGCTGCCATGACTATATTTCTTCTTGAAGAAATCCTAGCTAAATTTTTATTTTGAAATTCATATGTTCTTGTAGGGATTCTATTATGACGCATACTATGGTGAATTGGGATTGAATGATAGTCACTTCAAGCAGATTGATGCAGTTGCGTTGAAAGCTGTTGCGGTACTGTTTGATTCTCTGGTTTTAGAAGTTGCCATAGTAGAGTTTTTATTGCAGTGTTGCAGTGTTGCGGTGTTGGCTCTCTAGCATATAAAGGAAGGCTTTTAATGCACTATTGTTGTTGGTCTTAGCTGAGCTATATTCCTTATTTTCGTAGATAATCTTGAGTATGTCATGCATTTTTTGTTTATATAAAAAGTGGCTTATAGTTGTTTCTTGTTTTGTTATTCTAAATATCTTCATGTGGGAGCTGTATACATATGACATGTGGCAGGGCATGCAGATAACTGCTACTGGTACAATGAATAAAAATAATATAACTCATTATATTGACAGAGGATGGGTTGCGTTGATGTGTTTATTTTTGCAGACAGTCTTGAGTATGCTTTGCAATTTTGTTAATAGAAAAGGTGGATTAACAGGGTAAAAGGTTTAAATTGTCAAGTTGGGACTGATAGAGGGTAAGTTATATAGCTGTTTCTAAATCGTTTTACATGAGAGCTGTATACATATTACATGTGGAAGGGCAGGCAAATAATTGCTACTCATGCAATAAAAAAAAAATATAATATACTGATGATGGAGGATGGGTTGGGTTGGTGTGTTGGGTAGGATTGCATACCATGCAAACAAACGCAAGATCTATAACATTTTTTTAGTTTGTTGGATTCTTTTTGATGCATGGATATGGTGATCAATGTCTCTTTTTCACACATATGCTCAATGTTCTTAATGGTGCAGTTCACTTATATTTACTGATTCGATAACTCTTACATTTCAGGAGAAGCAACCTTTTGAGCGCATTGAAGTATCACGGGAGCAGGCACTTGAGATGTTTGGGGACAATAATTTCAAGGCAATTTTAAGTAGCAATTTAATCTGAGCAAACAGAACGCTTAGTTAATTTCTTAATGTTTTTTTCCCTTCCTAAACAAAAGAAATCCACCTTTCTCACTTTTTTTTTCTTTTTCTGTTTTTAATCATTTTGGTTATGATCAGGTTGAAATCATAAATGATCTGCCCGCAGACAAAACTATAACCGTATACAGATGTGGCCCGTTGATAGATTTGTGTCGTGGGCCTCATATACCAAATACATCCTTTGTGAAAGCGCTTGCTTGTTTGAAGGTGATACTTAATAACATGTTTGGTCATTATTTGATGTACAATTGATTCACTTTAGCAAATGTAATCTGTTTTACTTTTGAATTTTTCATTGCAGGCTTCATCAGCTTATTGGAGGGGTAATAGAGATCGTGAAAGTTTACAGAGAGTGTATGGAATATCTTTTCCCGATAAAAAACGTTTGCAGGTGCCTTTTTCATTTCTCTGCCCTTTGAATTGCGTTTGTGTTTCTCACTTGCAGAGGCTTTTGTAATATGTAGCTGTGTGCTGTAGCATAGTTAGTTGTGTTGGAATTCTTGACATTTGCTTCATACTATTGAGGTGGTCTAACAAGTATTAAAATGTAGCTTAGACCTTTGCATCGATTGATGCTACAATTTTTTAAGAATGCTTTCAAATGGTTATGATTTTGCATGATATAATTGGTTTCAATTTTGGTGTCCTAAGTGGGTTAATGTATCGTATTATCATTCATCAAGTGTATTATGATTCATCAAGTCGTAACTTTTTAATTCGTAGGCTTTTTTAATATGTAGCTGTGTGCTGTAACTTAGTTGTGTTGGAATTCTTGACATTTGCCCCATACCATGAAGTTGGTCTAACAAGTATTAAAATGTAGTTTAGACTTTTGCATCAATTGATGCTACAATTTTTTATGAATGCTTTCAAATGGTTATGATTTTCTGGGATATAATTGATTTCAATTTGGTGTCGTAAGTGGGTTAATGTCTTCGTATTATGATTCATCAAGTGGTAAGTGTTTAATTCATAGCGTTGCAATATAGGTTGAAAATATGTTTTATTGCATATACCTTGACTAAATGTTTAACATAAACACCAAAACAGGTTGCTTTATTATTATATGGTCGCACTTATTAGTATGCTGTAAAAGCAAAAGAAAAATTGCGTTCATTGCAGCATATTTGCCTTTTAATGCTGGGTTTAAACGAACTATTATCAATCTAGTTACACCTAATAAACGAAAAAGGACTTGGAATTGGAGTGAAACTATTGTTTTGAAGCCTTAGATTTGTGTCTCTCTAGAAAAATTCAGACACATAGAGCAGTTGTTTCTCGAGTTAATATCTCAGGATGCGCTATTGAGTGAGGCTGGCCACTGATGAAACTGGAAAAGGTGCCACAGCATTGTGTGTATACAGAAACTTGTAACAGTTTTGGGTGACAAAGATTCGTTTACAATGTAAACAGTTAGTTTATTTTCCTTAAGAAACTTTATGCAGAACTATGCGTTCTCTCTGATCTGGAGAGGTTCAATCAGTGATATGAAAATGATAAATGTGGTTATATTATTTGTTAAATGCCACATTAACATTAATTTCTTGTACAGGAGTACAAGCATTTCTTGGAAGAAGCAAAGAAGTACGACCACAGGTTGCTGGGTATTAAGCAGGAACTATTCTTTTGTCATCCATTGAGGTGCGATATGGGCTCTTGTATTTTGCCTATCCTCATAGATCGATGTATTCCTTAATGCTGATTTTGCATTTTTGGTGTGTTTCAGTCCAGGAAGTTGGTTTTTCCTTCCTCATGGAACTCGAGTTTACAATAAACTAATGGAATTTATAAAAAATGAATACAGAAGAAGAGGTTATGAAGAGGTAGAGGTCATAAGTGCTTGTTTGGATCTCATAGTATATATTTCTAAAAGCGAGTGCCTAAATTTATCAACTTTGGCAGGTTAAGTCTCCAAATATTTATAACATGAAACTTTGGGAGACATCTGGTCATGCTGCCAATTACAAGGAGAATATGTTTTTGCTTGAGGTGAGTCTTCTATATTTTGCTGATTTCTGACGAAGAGGATAGTTAGATGATCAATTGGTGCAAGTTATTTGCAGTTTGTAGTTGGAGGATAAAGAGTTCAGAAAAAGAACCAACACATGCTACCAGGAAAATCCAGTTATTATGAGAAAATAGATACACAGCAGACGTACATGTGACCAATTGTTTTTTTAAATTTCCTTTTTTCGTGCCCGGGGGGGGGCTGCTGTTAAATGAGTGTGCTTATTTCAATTGATTGGGGCATTCTTTTTCTCTGTCTTTGAATTTTGAAAAAATCTTGTGATGATATTTTGTCTACTGCAGATTGAAAAGCAAGAGTTTGGACTGAAACCAATGAATTGCCCTGGTCACTGTTTGATGTTTCAACATAGAGTTCGTTCATATAGAGGCAAGATCATTTCCTTCTGAATTTTATTCCACAGTTAATCATTCTTGTGTGTTTAGGGGGATTTTTTTTTTTTTTTTTCGGGAGAGGGGGAGGGGGTGTGTGGTTGTTTGTGCTCTTTTGCCCTGAATTACTTTTAACAGAATTGTTGAGGTTTTTTTTTTAGTGTTACGTGCCTTGGATGTGGAAACTATGTTTTTTATTATATGAATGCAACTGCTGTTTGTTGTTCACTGTCTCTTTTCTCAATTTTCTTGCTGCTTGTGGAAAGCTCTGGTGACATGAACGTTTGACTGGCCTGTCATATTATCCCTAACTTAAAATGTTTGGTGTGCTTTTCCAGAACTTCCTCTTCGATTGGCTGATTTTGGGGCCTTGCATCGTAATGAAGCCAGTGGTGCACTCACTGGACTAACACGTGTTCGGAGATTTCAGCAGGTATGTGTGTAGGAGAATGCCTCCATTTTATGTTTTTAACCTTTGTGGCTTAACTTTCTGCTCTGTAATTTTGGTTAAATAATAATAGTTATTAATTTAGATTTCTGAGTTATCTATATTCTTTTTAGAGCTGTTGTGAACTCCTACCAAGTTTGTGACTTAAGAGTTCATCTCTATTGGATAGTATCTGTTGTTCTTTGTGGCTTTGTACTATAGTAATCTATTTATTTATTCTCCAATCCATTACCTTTACATTTATACATGGCTATCATAGTAGCTGCTCTTCTTTTCCTCATTTTTTCTTGCATTTTGCTACAGGATGATGCTCACATATTCTGCAGGAAATCCCAGGTAATTTAAGTTAAATTGATACCTCACTAACCTTTTAAATGTCTTTTCTTGCCTAACCCTAATATAAATGGCATGTTCTGTTTTTCAGATAAAAGATGAAGTCAGAGGTGTTTTAGAATTCATTGATTATGCCTATGGAAAATTCGGATTCACGTATGAGCTGAAGCTATCTACGGTATGATGATCTTGATTTTTTTTTGCAAATTGATTGCTTATTCTCTCTATTATGCACTTTGTGCTGATGTAGAAGGGAACAATCTTGTCATCTCGGCAAAAAATTTTGCGTGTTCTTAAATGAAGCCCAAATTCAACAAATATCCTTTTGACCTTACCTTGGTGGATTTATGGACAAAATAATTTGTTTCTTGACCAACCTAAGCTTTATTCTGGCATTTTTTTTAACAGAACCGTTTTTTAATACCCTTTGCTTGTAGAGATAGGTTTGGGATTATACTGTTTCCCATTTTCTTGAAGAAATGAAATGATTTTACAGTGTCTTGCTACCCAGAAAAAAAAACATATAAAAGGATTTTGTTTCATGCCTCTTGATGTCTGTATTATAGAGGCCAGAGAAATACCTAGGAGTGTTGGAAACATGGGAGGAAGCTGAAAAAGCCCTTACAGAAGCATTGGACGAGTTTGGGAAGCTGTGGAAGGTAATGTTATTCTTTAGGTGCTTCTGGTCTGTGCTTGAAATTCTTGGTTGCAGTTTAGTACCTGTGTAGTTGAAATTCTTCTTCATAGTAGTTTGTCCTGCATCTAACATCTGCAATCTGCTACCTCTAGATTCTCTAGAGAACTAATTTTGTATTCAGAAATTTCAAAATATATTTAGTTCATCTACTCATTTATGAAAACACGCAAGGGGCTGTAGTTATAAATATCAAATTTGAAGCTTCCTTTTAGTTTTCCTTGCAGAGCGTAGAGTCGGTTACTGTACCCATTTCACCATATTTAACTGTGCTTGGGCTTTGTCAATTAGATGAGAGGCGTTGGATGTTATGAAAGTTAGGCCAATTTTCTTTAAGTCTATATAAATATGGTCAACTACAGAAAGTGGTTTGGTTTTTAGAGGACTTATGTTTTTTGTTATTTCATATTTACTGTTTTATCCCTTTGAAAGTTCAGCCAATTGGATATCTAGAAAATGACATTACTTCTTATTATGTATATTCATTTTTCTTTTGCTAGCTTTGACTCTGGATGTGATATTTTGGTTGGTGCTCAACAGATCGATGAAGGTGATGGTGCATTTTATGGGCCAAAGATAGATATCAGTGTATCTGATGCATTAAAGAGGAAATTTCAATGTGCCACATTACAGGTTTAGATTGTTAATTTTTTTTGGGTACCTTTCTTGCTTTTTTAAAGTAATGCTGGATTGTCATGTAATGAATGAATGCGTCTCTCTTTGCAGCTCGACTTCCAGCTTCCAGATCGTTTTAAGTTGGAATATTCAGCAGAGGATGAAGCCAAGAGTGAAACACCTGTTATGATACACAGAGCAATCCTAGGTTCTGTTGAGCGTATGTTTGCTATACTATTGGAGCATTACAAGGGGAAGTGGCCCTTCTGGCTTAGTCCTCGTCAAGCGATTGTCTGCCCAGTGTCTGAGAAATCTCAGTCTTATGCATTACAGGTTAGTTTGCTACATGCTTTTTAACCCTTAGATAATGAATTTGTAGTGTATATGCCAACATTTTTTGATTCTACGTTACAATTTCATCTGCATAGCAATGCTTGGAGAGTGATGGTGTTTCATTGACATGATGTCCTTTATGGCCAAGTAATATGTTAATACGTTCAGCTTGCCCCTTGATTTATTCACGAAGTGGATGGCAATTTTTTTTCTTTTATTGTATAAGATATACGCTATATACATGATGGTCTAAGTTTTGCTTATTTATTTATTCTATTGCACTCCTCTGCTTTGACTTTTTTTTGTGTTGGGTTGCGTTTTGGGGTGGGGGGGGTAGTTTCAGTTGCTTATTCTCAATATATTTCATTCGGGTCATAGAGCAATGGTTTCAAGGGTATTGTGGACCAATGTTTGTGAAAGGGACTCGCTAATTGAATTCTTGTGGGAATAGTGGAATATGGAGTCTTTTTCAGTTGAGGACTGATCTTGTTTTGGTTATGAAACATATGCAGTGTGAATAGCTTTTTGGGTGTATTATTTAGTATTTTGACTTTATGCCCAGCAGCGAACACAAACCAATGCATTTTCTTGTTACATTTTATAGGTGCAGGATCAGATTCATGAAGCTGGTTATTTTGTTGATGCGGACACAACTGACAGAAAGATCCAGAAAAAGGTGCTCTTACAACTCTCATCCTTGACATCAAATTAGCATCCTGCAAATTGCTTCTTCATTATGCTTTGTTATGAATACCCTTCCTGGATTCTGGTGAATTACATAGGCTCAGTTGTGGTCTTGCAATGCTAATTATTGTGAAAATGGATGCTACACAATTAGGTTTGTTTAGTGATTCCTTTGCCCTTTGTTCAGATACGAGAAGCTCAGTTAGCACAGTACAACTATATACTGGTTGTGGGCGAAGAGGAAGCCAAAACTGGACAGGTAATACAGATAATCTATTAACTGAACTAATATACTTGACTGCTTGATTTAAAAAGTCTCACCATGGGCTGCCCTTTACAATGATGCCGAGTTTTTTGCTTGGCTTGGATACATGTGAAAATTAGTTGTGGATTTTCAAAACTATGGAAATCATTGGTTTACTTTCCATCAGGAATCACCAAATATTAGAATGATTCCGAAGATTATGCTCCAGGAACCCCTTTTCTTTTGGCACCACTGTCAAAAGCTATAATATAAATATTGCAGTGTTTGCCTAAGAGATCTTCCTATTTATAATGTTTTTTTCTTGGCAATAAAAAAAAAAAAATTGTTATGGTCCATTGTTGTCTACAGGTGAGCGTGCGGGTGAGAGATAACGCTGACCATTCAGTGATGAGTATTGAGAGCTTACTCATACTCTTCAAGGATGTAGTTGCAGATTTCCGTTAGGTGGACATGCATTGAGATGATTATTCAGAGATGATTATTAATTGTGTTATTGTAATATGATTTACATGTTGCTTCTGAGCAACAGCTGCATCTTAGGTTGATTTACCATCAAATGGAAAAGATTAGAAAATCTTTTGGTGTGTGCACCCAAGTTATTCCCAATTTTTTTGCCTTCCTCTCACAATGGTTTATATATGTTCAATTTCATGTCTCTGTTTCTACGCACAACTTTCATGTCTTTATACGATGGAGAAAATTTATGTACAATCTCCTACCAAGAGTATGTCATCCAGCACCCTGGCAATAGTCGCTTCTTTAGAATTCGTAGATATTTTTAGTAGAGAACGCTGGTCGAGTGTTGTATTGGTTATTACAGTAGGAAGTTGAAACTTTCTCTGCATATGTATTCATTGCATAAGCAGCAAATGGAAAAGCAACGGTGATGCTATCTTGAAATTTGCTTTCTTTTTTAGCGTCTTTGATGTGTAATCCTGATGATGGGAGAGGCCATGATATATTTTCATCCCAGGTCTTTCATATTCTTTGTAAATTCCCATTTCTTTCCCACTGTTTCTGTGCTTGAAATCCTTGTCAGTACTTTCAGTGGTTTTTGTAGGCTAACCCCGTCCACTGTTAAGCATCTTTGAAGGTGAAAAGCATTGGTAAAGATTAGCAGCTAGTAGCATTGTGGACCTCGTTCTAGTCTATCTATTGGTGTTCTCTGTAGTGGGCCGGATTGATGAGCAAAGACATTAATTAATGCTTCTGAGCCTAAAATTATTATGTATTTTATATATATATATAAATAAAGAAAAAATTTTGTAATTTAAATTTCAGTTTTCATATAAATTGAGATTAAATTTATTTTTGGAGATCTTAAGACAGATCCTTTACATTGATTTGATACGTTCAAAAGGTGCTGATTTCAAGAACTTAACTAAAAGAAATCAAAGAATGGAGCGAATATTTTTAATCACCAAACCAGCCATTTTGAAGTTTTTCTAGTACATTTTAGAAAATTCTAATCAATTCTCTTAAATGCTGAACCTAATATTTAAATCTTGAAAATTAAAGAAATGAAATAAACATCTCTAATCACTGCTCCAACTCAACTTTTTCTAAATTTGTATAATGCATGTGAGCGTATATATTCGAAATATACGAAGGGAGTCGTGCATGCCAGATTGGAGATCGGGTTAGCCTACTTAGCTTCTCATTTTATTTAGTTGAAATAATAATAATAATAATAATAATAAATGCAAAGCAAATATTGAGAGGGGATGTGCTCAAGAAAGCATTTCTGACCAAAATGCCTGTTTCGATAGTGGGGGTGATGCCATCATGATAATAAGTTGAAATTATAGAAGAAAAAACCGTTGGAATTGGACAAATAGTGAGGAGAGTAGAAAAGAAGTGAAATGCCGAGGTTCAGTGAAATTTGATAATCATCAATCAGTTTTGTATATGATCACGATTGAGTAGGACTGGATCATAGTCTGCATTTATTGTTAATTATTAATGATAATACTAATCGTAACTTTCAGCATGTTTGCAGTACTAGTAGTCACTTTCAACATTCAATTCCTTAATAGTTTTGTGGTAGACAACGACAATTAATGAAGTTTTCCATTGTTACTTGTATAGCTTCCTTGTCACGTTTTGACCATGCTCCCTCCTTCCCTCTCCCTCTCCCTCTCCCTCTCTCTAAACACTACTTATAAATAACGTAACAGAAGTGAGTCAGCCACGGAAGGAACCATGAAGCACCTTCAATAGCACTATGGAAAAATTTTATAATATTTGAGAAGTAATTAGTGAAAATTATCCTTCAGAAAGAAATAAACACCAAAAAATATATATATATACAAGTCTGAGAAAGAAAATTAAAAAACAAATTAAGTTCAGGATGAAAATTTTCTTATTATTTTTTATATATATGTCTGAATGTTATTTTTTATCGTTTTCTGTTTTAATGCATTTATCTTTCCCTTCAAAACTTATGGAATAATTATTGAAATTCTTAATTATTGTAAAATTTCTCAGCTCTAGATATGGATAATAATCAAGCATATAATCGGTTCCGTTATAACTTAATCGCTAGATGCTAGGAAATCTATGCCTACGATAGCCTCCTTCACATTGGAGGATGGAGATACCTAGCCAGCTACCGAAAAGCTTACTGGAAAGTAGAAACACTGCAATGAGACTGAAACTAAAAAGCTAGCTAGTTCACAGCGTTAGATCTTAGAAAAAGCTAGCTAGCTTACAGCGTTAGATCTTAGAAATGATCAAATCCCCCATATGATAACCCTACATAACCTAGAACTCCATTGGTTATCACTCAAGATACCCACTAGTATTCCTAACATTAACATTCAAATCCTGAAGCTGTTGAAACTGCTGTTTCCGATAATTAGCAGCTGAGAATGAACTGCTGCTTTCACCCACATCGCGTTCAGCCCTATTATACTCTTCATCAATCTCCTCCTTGGCCACTTTCTCTATCCCCCTTTGAATAGTTGACACATAGTGGGACTGTGAGTCACAGTAGCCTGCAACTTGATGATGAGCTGCAGCTGGTTGTGCTGGTGGCTCTACTGATGGGAGCTTGGAGAGTAGTGCTTCAAGGCTGCTCATAGATGGAGTTATCTTGAATGGTACTTGATTGAAGTGGTCGTACAACTCTGTTGGACTTGGAGCTGGAGGTGCAATATTACTGCCTTGGTAGTGCCATGTGTCTTGTGCTGTGCCATAACCATCCACCTTATTACAAGGATATGCAGAAGACGATGGATGCGGCAAGAGCACACCAGGAATGCTTTCTATGTAGCCGAATTTCTTTCTCAGTAGAACTACATAGCTCAGGTCTTCAATTACCTTTAATGCCATTAAAATTATTAGAAAAGCCAATAAATAAATAGGAGCCCAAGACAAACAAGTACTATCCTATATCATATAGGGTGTGAGACTGGGTGAGTAATGAAAGCTACTTGTGAAAGAGAGGGAACCTTGTGAACAGCTCCTAGTTGAACAACACCTTCTCTAACAGCAATCAGAGCTATGGTCTGAAAAAAATACACAAAAATTATTCAAACCAACAAGTAGTTTTGGTCTATTTAAAATCTGTTTATTTTGCGTGGTGTTAGATATGATTACTTGTATTGTTATTGCATACCTTTATACCAGACTGGAACTGGGCTTCCCATGTCCTAGGTTGCTGTAAAGGAACACAAGATAACAAAAGAGCAAGTTTGTGAGAAAAATTAGCTTGAAATCACAGAAACTACTACTAATACTATTTAATTAATTAAGCATGTATGAGAGATCTTCTTACTGAGTCCGCTGAGTTGTGCCATGCTGACAGGAAGTTGATTTCTTGATCATTTGGTTCTTTGTATATCCACTTATGACTGTGATCTGCAGCTACTTTTCCTATCAGTCTGTCCATAATACGGAACTAAATCAACTTGCATCGTTTGGTTTAAATATTTAAGACCAATTGAAACGGAGCCATTAAAGGGACCTGATTATTAAATTTCTTACTCTGGTGTCGTGCAATATTCACTACTAGCACTTACCCTTCTCCATAGTTGTAGATTTCATGGGACATCTTGAAGAACAGCTCCGGTTGCAGTCCTTGATAGTGTTGAAATTCACAGTTTCCATAAACTGATGAGCTTGGACAGTCACCAGAGTTGATCTCAGCTGTTGATGCAGCAAAGTTGCAGAAACCATCTTCCCAAACCAATATCCTGACACACACAAATATGTACATGTACACAAGATCATAATGGTTTGATCACTCTAAGAATAAAAATTATGCGTGAAATTTAAAGTTTTGAACATATCGATCCACGATCGAAAACAGAAAGAAATACCAGTTCCTTCTATTTCCTCTTGACCTTTCATAAGCTCCTTGACCATCCCATCTATATACAGAAAGATAAATATCAAATGACCAAGCAATAATATTTAAGGCATTTCAATAAATTGTCTATAAGTAGATTTTTTTTTTTGGGGACGTTAATAGTATATCTTTCTCCTTACTTGGGTGGTGGGTAATTCCTAGGCAAGATCCTCCAAAACACAGCATAAACCCATTGGGAATTCTCATGAATGCACAAGCTTCTCAAGGTGTGCTGAAGAAGATGAGTCACAGCTAATGGGCTTAGATGTTCTTCCATGATGATCAACTCCTCACAATTATAGACTTGGGTACTCTCTCTCTCTCCTCTCTTCTTTTCCTTTATTTCTCTACTCTATCTTGAAAAGCAGGCAAACCCCAACACCTATCCTCCTTTATATAAGCCCATCAACAAGAAAATCTCACATTTATACCCCTCCATCTCTCTCTCTCTCTCTCTGATGCTGTAATTAATCATGCTTTTAAAAAAAAATATTTTTTACCAAAATGATTTCCTAAGGCCCACCCTTTTGCATGCCCGGTTCCCAACGGTACTCTTTATCAATCAACTCTCCATTTCAAAACTAGCAACTTTTTCCACTCCACTTCACCAGCAGTACTTTTTTTTTTTTTTTTTTTGGGGTCCTTAACTCGTACGAGGCATCTAAATTACGATGAAGCAGGAAATATCAGCAAGACCTAACCTTATAATGATATTCTTGTTTCTTACACTACTACATCACGAGTAGTTTTTTTTTTTTTTTTAATTTACACTCACAAAACTTCTAGTAGTACGTTAAAATTTAAATTCGAAATCTTTTAATGTAAAAGATTATTGCTCTTTAATTACATCACTAGTAACTAGTTACTTTCATTTCTCACACTTACAAGCACCCGTACTTTTCTCTTCAAACCCCAATGTGACAATGTCTCTTTATTTCCTTGCTTTCTCCCTCTCTGACACAATAAGGTATGGCTGACACAACATTAAGGTAGAGGTATATACATAAACCTAAGGTCTTCTTCTTGCTTTTTTTTTTTCCTTTGTTTTTTTTAATAAAAAATTTTACTAGTCGTTCACCCGTACTGTGTTTGATGGTTATAAATTTGTGGTTATCATGTAGCCATAATGTGTGCTTAATTTGTCTCACCTTAATTATTTAGCATTAAAGCAGTATGTAATAATCAATAAGATACACAGTACAATTAATTAGTTTGTAGTATTTAGTAATGGGTTTGCATTATTTTTGTAATTAAGAAATCAATTAAAATACTTTTGATTGACTTTAATGCGGTGATATTAAAACATTCAAAAATAGTAAAATACCACAAAAAAAAAAGAATAAAAGAAAACAAAAGAAACATGTATTGGTGAAAAGCAATTTTCAAAAACACTAGCTAGAAGCGCATTAAACCAAAAGTGTTGTAGAGTAGTCCAAATATGGTGGTTACCGCAATGTGATGCTGTTGGCACAAATGAAGAGTGTGGCGTCACCGAATTAAATGTTGTGTATTTTGGGTATTTCTCACAATGCACAAATTCTGCATGAAATATAGGTGAGAATTGCTGAGTTTGGGTACAAGTCTCTCTCTCTCTTTCTCCCATGAATGCCCAGGCTAGCTACATGTTTATAAAATGGAATTACGAGAAGCTACATTAATTTCTTTTTGTGAAAGAAATTCAAGACCCCACCATGGGAAGAGGTAGCTGGTAGCTAGCTAGACAGCACAATATATTATAAGCACATGCTCTTCTTAAAACGTGGAGCACTGATTTTTTTCTCTTTGCATATGATAGCGTGGACATATACATGGACGCGTTCCAACTTGTGATCGATTATGCCTGTCTGTACTTGCAGAGAGAGGGGGCTTCGCAATAACATTGATAGTTTTATGAAAATAATATGGTAATAATGGGATCGCATTTTAAATGCATATACATAGATTTAATCAGCGTAGATGCGCAATCAAGTAGCTAGTGCGTAAGTTTCTCATCGGGAGTAGGTTTCATTCTTCTGTGAAGCTGCAGAAAAAATTGATTAATTGTGGGATCTGTGTGTTTGTGTGCAAGTTAATTGCCTGAACACAAAGACAGAGTAAAAGGAGCTTTCAGTGCTTTCATTTCCTCTGTCTGACACCAAGAAAGTTTGACAGGTCATTACACTTTCTTTTTGACCGTCTGTTAACAGAAAATTGTCCTTTCATTGGGCTGTATAATGCAATAATCTATCCATAATTCGCTGTATAACTCAGCATTTAAATGCCTACCAACTAGCAATTTATTTTGTGATGGGGACAGAGATATAAATCTCTGTTTTGAAGGCAACCCCCATTTGTGGGCTATAAATGGGTGGTTTTTGATACCTAGCTAGTTGTGGTCTGAAATTGAAATTGTGCGTAATGCATGAAATATAATATTTTCATGTACGGTCAGTGGTGGAGCTTGAGAGGCAGTGTCTGGTGTGGTGACGTGAGCAAAAGGAGAGCCTGTCCAAGTAAATGAGGCAATTGGGTTTATTCATTTATGATTACTATTATTGATGTTGTGGTGATGGTTTCTATCTAGCTAGGGCATAGCTTTAAGTACTGTATAAATTTGGCTCTTTCTTCTTTTTTCAACAACAGCTCCAAGATTTTTTTAGGTACATGGAGTTGGAGGAGTTGTTGGCATGGGAGAAAAGAATGGCACAAGAGTCTTCGTCAAGATAGCAGACGCTGCGTGCCCCATCCTTTTCTCCCCCATTAAGGTTGTGGAATCTCTGCTCTTCCCATCCTCTCCAATCCCTTCATCCATCTTATAATAATCCTTCAATCTAAGAAACAACCAAAAGAATTTATTGTTTATGTACATATATGCAAGTAATTTGCATTTTTATATGCAAAGAGGATCGATCATGGATTATGATCAGGCAATATTATTATGATGGCATCCAACAGTGTCTAATAATGCATACCCATCAGCAGGCAAATCTTTCTCCTCCTCCTTTAGGCTATATATATATATATATTTTTTATTTAGAAAAGTTGACATGGGATTGAAGAATGGGAGAATTTGGAATTGTTTTGGAATGTTGGATGTTAGAATAATATTTTATCATGACACGAAAAATAGAGCAAGGTTAGATTGCCTTTTTTGTCTTAAGGAAACAGATGGAAACACAAACAACAGCTATTGCACCATAAATTAATTAAATGTCTTGCTTTGGCTAGAAATGGACGACGTACGTTGGTCATGACTCATTAAATATAGCCGCATAGGTGATTTCCAAAGGTCTAAACTTCAGTGTTTCTTGAAGTGATCAAAGATCTTATCCATCCTCTAAATCAAACACTTAGTTTTCTACCTCTTCCACGGGCTTATAATATATAGGGAACCTGCATTTTCCGACGTGGGTGTTTTGTACGTAGTTCCTCGGATCGGACATTCTAAAATGTACAATATTATTTGACATCCATGCACCTTAATTAACCCAAAGTAATAGATTTGTTATTATTAACAACAGTATTTGATTTCAGCCTGTTGATGCTTGAAAATATTACTACTTTCGGGTCCATTAGCTAGCACACAAGCCAATTGTGAAGCTGCAAATGCAATGATAAAGGGGAGAGAGTGGGTTAAAATTTGGTAAAGGCTCAGGAAAATGAATATTGCTGATTGGCGGAAAGGCGTGAGGATTTGGAGGGAAGTTAGCCATTAATCAAGAACATAAATTGAGAGAATACACCGATTAAGAATTAATACAATTATTAATAATAAAAGATTTTTCATATGTTTGTTTTATTTTAAGAATTTAGTACCAGTTGTTTTCACTTCGTTTGTATTCCTTTTACCAATCATCATGTACTCTGAATTGAAAAAATATTAATCTATTATAGCAAGTCCAATATTATTGTAAAGAACAAGAAATGTTGTTGGCAAAAAAGGTACTTTTTCCATTGATTTTTTAGTTTTTAAAAACGTTAAAAAACAGTAACATTACGGTAAGCTATAAAATGATTAATCAAACCAAAAAAGAAAATTCTGGATTCATCACTGTTAGACAGTATTGATAAAATACAGATCTGTTTTAATAATAAAACTGGTTTCTATGTAATGTTTGCCACCAGGAAGCATCTTTTCAAAAAGCAGAAAAAAAAAAAAAAAAAAAAAAAAGAAGGTGCATCTTCAGATGACTGACTCCTCAGAGTATCTGCCTTTTTTTCTTACATGACTAACATTACATGGTAGAAAAGGTAAGAGGCAGAGATAAAGTGGTTGGCGAATTTTGTAGGAGCTGGATACCATGACAATATTGCATGAATATAGACAGTCCTCACTAATAACCAAGTGCACGTCAATGAATAAGAAAATAAAATGATAGTTATATTGAACGTATATGTATACAATAAATAATGCCCTCCAGCTTGTCATGATCCACTGGAGTATGTGAATATAGCTAGATTGTCGTGTGGAAATATATATATATATGCGAGGGAGACACAATAAAAAAAAAAAAAAACCCTCTATTTATTTAGAAGATGAACTAGACACACGGTTTTTGTTTATTTTTTTCTATAATTCATGGATGTTTTACAGCTTAAGTTTTTTAAATTAAGTTATTTATTTCAAAAACCTTCTTGTCTTATATGATAGAATATTTCTATTTATTTATTTAGGATACAAAAGAGGCTAAGGCCACACGTGATACTCGAATTCTAACATATTTGCTCGAGAAACAAGTTACAGACCATCCGGCTACAAGATGTTTGTGTTTAGGCTTATGGAATATTATAGATAAACACTGTCTACAATGAAAAAGGATTGGCCAATGTGGACTTTTACACTTTTCTTTTTTGAGGAAAGGGGAAAGAAAATGCGAAAAATGAAAATAGCTAGGAGGAATGAGAGTGGAAGATATCGCAATTTTCGGCCCTCTTATTGGAAGGAGTGAAGATGGAGAGAATGAAAATGAGAAGAAAATGTTCGACAACTATAAAAAATGAAAAATGGAGGAAAGAAAATTAATTATAAATACATTAATTACCATTTGTCCACAAGTTTTGTAAACATGCATTAGATGATTAGGGGAAAATATGCAAATGCAAACGAAAAGAACTCCCTTAATTTATATATTGCACTTCTTTTCCTCATTTTCTATCCATTTTTGAGAGAAAGGAAAAGAAATGACTTTTTTTTTAGAATAAATAAAAAGATTAATTTTGCTACTTCGAGGACTGTTGCTTTTTGTCAGTACTATAAAAGGTTTTGCCAAACTTTTCTTTTATATAACAAGTTATTTC